ATTAATCCATAGTCTTCTTCATCTTTGGGTATCAGAACCGTAGGATATGTATAATTGGAAGTTAAATTGGAAGTTACAAGGGATGAAATTTTTCGCCATTAACGAATTGATTTTTTTCTAAGCCAACGAAATATATTCATTTGATAAGCTATGAAGCTTCAGCTAAACAGGTTTTATGTTCAAGTTTAATTAGAATGAGAACTCTACTTTGAATTTCTTCTACTTCTCATAATTTCTTGCTGGTTAGGTTGGCTCCGCTAGCTGCAAGGGTAAGATATCTTCCAAGCTACTCGGTTCGACATCATTGCCAATAGTAAAAGAAACCATTTCTTTTTTCGTCGTCTAAGTCCATATATCGTTGGTCCACCTATACGTTCAAAATCTTTCTTGACTGTAGTCCAGGTCTCCAGGTCTTATTGGTCCATCTCACTTTTGATAACACTCATTATAAGGTTCAGCAAGTAGCGAAATATTTGTTAGCTATTGTGATGGACGACGAATGCTTTAACCAGCGAAAGCAAGTGGTATACAAAGATAGGTGCAATCACGTGAGATTTTTTCCGCTTGACGGGTCCGTGAAATTTATTTTAGACATGAGTAGTTAAAAGCAGATAGCTTCTTAATATTTTCCACTCTCATTGGCAATGTTTAGCAGCCATATAGAAAGCGAACTGCAGCCATATGGACGAGGATTTCTTTATGGTGATTTTGTGACGGTTCCATAAAATTTCATCAAGCAGAAAAGCACATCTCTAGTTGTCGTTATCAGAATTACAATTAATGTAATTAAGCTATAAATATCTTCTATTAATTTATTGATTCAACTTTGAATTCCAGTGATTTTTCAATAGATCGATATAGATTTGGTAGTAGTCGTCAGAAGCTATATAAGCTTATCCACATGAAAAATTCCAGAAGGTGTAATCCACTTGATTCCATGACGAAACAATATGTTAAAATAAATATTAAAGGAATAGCGAAGAGAAGACATTACTATTGCCTTAGAGTATATTTCCTGATCACGGAAAACGCATTTTAATGAAAGTATTGTAAAAATTCCCTTTAAAGAAAATTAAAGTTGCAGCTTTTACTTTGTTTAATTTTTTTTGGTCACATTTTCTCGAATTAAATCAACGTAGGAACCAACGTCGAAAAGTACTTGAAATCTCAGCCTATTGACAAAATTTCGAAAGTATTGTTGAGATGACTCTTGGATTTTCAATAATCCATTCATTAATTTCACAAGTTTTTTCAAATAAAAGCATCCACACTTTCATATGCTTGGAATCACTATTTCTTATTTTAATTTTGAGACTTTAGTTCAGCCTTTTTTCCTTGATGCTAATGCATTGAAAAGACAAATTTTTCATAATTTCTTCTTAAAGCTGCTTGATTTGTAAGAATTCGACCTCTGTATGGATGCTGATGACTGTTTGGATTGCAGCAGGAACATAAAGCAAAGCCTCATGTTCATCATACGACAGCAGGAACATAAAGCAAAGCCTCATGTTCATCATACGACATCATACAAAGGCGACAGCAAGGTTTTTTGCATGCTTTGATTAATGAATGATAACTAATGTCTTGATATAGTGTCTTGTCTTAGCTATACTTTGTTCTATTAACAACCATCCACAGAATATCGGTGAAGTTAGTTTTTTTCACCGCCTTTCTTGAGAATAAATCTTATCATGATTAAATAACTTGTACCACGATCCTGTACGCCATAATTATTCTGAGCCTTTACGGAAATTTTCTTCACGAAAAGTGAAATTTAGGATGCCCAAGCATGAAAGCAACTGATATCAATAGCTAATGCTATAGCGATATATAATGGATAATACCCACCGCTAAAGATATCCACCAAACCTTTGGTCTCAACATGCCATGTGAAGTATAAAAAAGATCTTATTACAATAAAATCACCAAGTTCTTCGTATCGTTCGCTGCTTAAATCCTCTATTTTCTTTTATTAGACTAAAAGAAATGGTTTTCTCTTGGGCCACCAGCAATTTGTCAATATAGTTTTTTATTTCCAACTGTATTTATTTCTTCAGTTCCATTTCATATTTAAGGATTATAAGGTTTGAGATATAATTAGTGTTTACAGAAAAAGCGCATGTAAAATCAGCTAACTTCAGATTTTTGTCTAATTTACTTTTATAAATTTATTGCGAAAAATTAATGTTTATTGTTAGTGATTTTTTTCCAGTATAAAAAAAACGACGAGAGAATTTCGTCATTCGTTTTGTTATACCAATTTTCGAATTTCATAGAATTCTTTGCCATTCAGATTTCATTCATTGTCCTTGTTTCTGGTATTCTTTTGCGTTTTAACAACATCTTCCATTTCTAATTTGTTCATCAGCTAGGATGATAATTTGCTACATTCACCGTCACTTACACAAGGAATCTTGGAGACAGAAGCAGATGGACTCATCATCCAGATTTTACTTCTAATAGTAGTGCCAATTATTAGAATCCATGCTATTTCTTGTCAAATGAAGCAATATCGTGGAATTGACTCAGCATATCTTCAATTTTCATAATGACCAGAATGACCAGAAAAAACATAATAACAGATTTTTAATTTATTATCATGTATTTCCTGGCAGTAATATTTTATATTTTTTGTTTTTTTTGTTTTGTTTTTTCAATATTTTTTAATTCAACATTTCACAAATATTCTTCATGTTAGACAAATTTAGACAAATTAGATAAATTTAATTTATTAAATATTCCTGAAATTTGTAAAACAATTTGGGTTATTTTGCAAATAACCGAGTAGCCTTTAGTAGTAGTAGACTTTGTTGAGAGATGAGCGTTATCTCCTATTCTCCACAGAAATAAAAATATTAGAAAATCCAGTTATTAATAGCGGCTCAATGCCATTAAGTTGTTCTCTGGCAAAAATTTATAATCGTTCCAGAGGGGAGTAACTGGCTTGACCTGAAAATATTTATTAGCCACCTCGACAATGTTATCGCTTCATCGGAAGGAAAACTTAAAAGCAGGTTTGATTGCAAAAAACGCTATTTATTAATTTTTCCTAGGAGGCATGATAACTGATATCACGATAAGAGCCACTGGAATGCTGGGAAAATTTAAAAATTTAGTTGATTCATGATCCAATCTGCATTTCCTGATAAAAGTTTCTAAATGTACTAACAGCCAGCAGAGTGAACCAAATCTGAAAAGATGAACGCTATTCATTTTTTTATTTTTTAGCGTAATTGCATTAATTTAAATCAAGAAGAATTAAATTAAATTAAATCAAGAATTTGACCATTTCTATTGGAAACTTTACTGAAAAATTTTTATTAATTAAAAATATTTTTTAGATTAATGATTTTAGGATCTCTTTGAATTTTATCGAAACGACTCTCATCAAGAATTTAAAATTCGTTATGCGTTCGTCTAATTTACTTACCTTCATTTCATTTTGCACAGGGACAACCTTAGAATTTTAAATTCCCTATAAACATTTCCATTAAAAGTATTATTATCTAACTTAAATATTCATTTTTTTATCACTAGATTTTCGGAAAAGTTGAATTAATCAGTTGATTACAGGTAGTATATTGTTTTTCCGAGATGATTTCTTCTTCTTTAAAAAGTGATTATAGCCGAGTGATGATTGCTCAGATTTCATAATCATCGTCTGAAGCATCAAGATTCTTGTCTCTGATAAAATAAATCTGCCATTCCAGTTGATTTTTTGGCCATAAATCTCCACCGTACTAGTAACGCGCAGCAAACCTAAACAAAAATTCTGGGCAATAGCTTTTATATTTAATTTTAAATGAAAATTTGTTGAAAGAAATTTAGCTTTCTACTTTCTAGTTTTTTTCGAGATAATTTCTTCTTCTTTAAAATCGAAAGCTATTCGAATTCATTTATTTTTAATTTTCTTCTAACGTTTAATGAAGGATCGTTTAGAATGTGCATGGTTCTTTTACAATTACAATTGCTATATTTTTTCCAGTCTTTCTCTCTAACATATTTCCTCTTTTGATGTTCCCTTAGTTTTCTTTATTTCGTTCTAGAAATTATTGTTAAAAGTATTTGCTGATAAGAATATTGATTTTTTATGCAATTAATGTTATTAGAGTCATTTTTGAATGGAAACTATGAATGATTTTCAGGTCTTCAAATGGATCTTGGATCCTTCTAATCTTTTCATGGATCTGTGAATGGTCATAGCTTTTTTTTGAATCGTTTTAATTTCTTTTAATTTGAACTAAAGTTTACGGAAATAGTTTACCGAAAAAATATTATTTATCTTCAGTGAAAAATTTATAACAAACGGCAAGAGATGCTTCGATAAATATTTGATTGTGATGCTTAATTGGTTTGCATCTCCACTGAATATTCTTCCTCAACGATCGTATGTCCTTTTATTCTACCTAATTTTATTTAATTTTATTTCAATGTTTTTGTAGAACGAAGCAGAATATTTCATTTTTCAAAAAAATTTGATTATTGTTGGTTATTGGTTAAATATTGTTCAATATTTCTGATTAGATTAATTCTGACTCCACTGGGGATAGAAATACTCGTCACCACTTGAACGATTGTTGGTTGAATTTTTTTCTTTTTGTGAATAACCATGTTTTTCCTTTATTATGAACTGATTAACCTTATTACTCCAATATTTCTTAGATATTAAAGATAAAATGTTCATAAATAGTATGATAAAGGTTATCATAGGTATGATTTCCGATACACTTGTAGAAACTTGTAGAATGGGAATAAATATTAAAAAGTAGGATCCAGATGCTGCTGGATATCAAATTTATTAGCGATTCTATACCTAAATGATTCCCTGGCTCTCTGTTTAAGGATTCTCATCCTAATCAATGAAAGTGGCCAAACCAGAAACAGTGAATGGTATTAGAAGAAGAAGAAAAATTCATTAATTTTTTGAATCAATTTTTTAAGGATAAGCTTTGAATCCGAGATTTATTCAATGAAGAAGGATTTATAAATTTTAATGGTAGATGATTTTTCAATTTGCATTTTCTTTCCATACATCATATTGCATGAGACTTTTTAGATATTCACAAACATCGTTATCACTTGGACGTTCATTTTTGAAAAGCTTAACAAATTCACACCTTTGCCAATCGTTAATATCGCTTGATAAGCTAAAAACTTGGAGTCGATTCTACATTGAGGGCGAGCTAAACTATCAGGTACAGATGAAGATAATTTCCATTTTGCTTCATATTTAAGTCGAACACATCTTGTATTGAACATATTTATATACGCATTGCTGAAGCATCTGCAAGCATGTTTTCACTAATTTAATACATTTCTTGCATAATTCATAAGAAATTAGATTTAATTTTTAGAATGTCTTGGATGTAGTTTCTGTTGATCAAAAAGTTATTACTAATCCAAGACTCAATTCTCGTCGACGAACTGTATTTGTAGTCAGAAAGAACAAAGAACCATTCGGTTTTACGATACAGGTTCCATTTCAATTTTCCTGATTTCTCATCATTAATTATTTTCTAGCTTGAAAATATATTACTTATATCCTTATAAGTTTTTGTTACTTATATCCTTATAAAATTGAATTTTCTTCATATTTTTTTGAAAGTGATTTAGAAAAAGTGGTTGACGCTCCATTTCCGGTTGGTTAGAGAGTCACTTGGTGATGAAAGTATAAACAGACCATCCGGCCTATCGATAGAACAATCCTGTCGGAAATAGATAAGTTTGGAAACCATCCAAACATATTTCGACTTCTTTTTTATATGATTTGACATCGAGTCATAATTTTAGTGCATAAATTATTTATTTTGTATTTACAGTTACATACTTTATTTGTTTATTTACTCGCATAAATTTACTTTATTACTAACTTTCAGTCATATTTGCTCAAAAGTCTAGATAACGATGCACATTTCAAAATATCTTATGTCGATTATGTACATTTTGATAGCCCGGCAGCTGAAGCAGGAATGCGCATTGGTAAATTCAAAATTTAACTGTTATGTTAATATTATTGCTATTGAATTATTAATGATAACAAAAAAGAATTTTATTGCTTCCAGTTTTTTTTATTTTAATAGCCATTTATCGCTCTACTGGTTGTTAGAGAGAAACCCCTCAGCCAGAGAGTCATTTAGAATTGATGGGAATCTACACTTTTACACTTTTATTCCAGTTAGTGAACAGGAATCGAATCTATGTTGGCTTGAGCTCGAAATAGCATACCACTCGCCCACTCTGCTGCATTTTTTTTACAAGTAAAAATAATGGATTTGAGATGAATATAATAATTTTTATTGCTGAAGTATAATAAATATAACATTTTAAACTATTAAACTATTGAAGTAGATGAAAAATTTATAAGGATAAGCACTTGCAGGTGATGTAATAATTTCGATAAATGGCGAATTAGTGCTTGAAATGTCACATTCAAAGTTGATCAAATTGATCAATTCATGCGTCGAAATGAGAATGGTTGTTATCTTTGAAAATATTAAGGAACATATCGAATTAAGTGCTCGAGCTATTCGATTGAAAAAATTGCTTAATGACAAACTTTTCCAATTGAATTTGATCGATATTGAAGAACAAAAAATTTTGAATCGTAATTTTTTATTTCCTTTAATAATTCTACATTAGATGAAATTCTTATGAAGTTGGATTTTAAGTGAATTTTTCCAGGCTCATTCTTGAAATCACTGGAAAATCAGAAATCTGAAATTTCATCGCTTGTTTCCCATTCCTCATTATCAGATGAGTCAGAAAAGAAAGAGCGTTTCAATGAATGTGCTTCAGTGAACGAAATGAATTTTATTGATAAGCAAAGCTCTTCTAAACATTCATCGTATTATCCTTGCCTTACTCTAGATCTTACTACTAGTGATAATAATTTGGATTCTATAAATTTATCTTGTATTAAATTACAGGCTCAGTTATCCACTGAGAACGGTGTGAATTTAACCGTATCATCTTCAAGACAACTTATTGATACCATAGGATTTAATCATATAATAAGGATAGAATAACTATGACTTTTGTAGAAATAATAAGTAATTTTATGCCCTGCATCCAACCGTCAAACTTTTAGTCCAATAATTTGCGATAAAATCTTCAAGCCAACTTTTCGAAACATAAACTCCTAATAGAAAAAAAAATAAAGGGAGATGTACAGAATTCGTCACCACAATGATTAGCAAAAAAAACTCCAGCGTTGGACGCTATGAAATTTGGCCTTTATTAGCATACATTAAGAGGCTAAAAAAGAATTATATATTTGATTTTTAATGGAAAACATATTTATCTTGTTGAAGATTCATTTGAGGGCTTTTTGTTCTAATAGCCCTCATAATTTCTGATTTGATAGCTTGGCCCATTGACTATTAAGAGATCGCTACGCCACAGAGTCATTTAGGTCCGTAATTACAAAAGAGTCTCTTCCACTTCCTGAACTTTATTTTCGATGGCAGTTTTATTCCTGAATGAATGGATAGGTGCAAAAATTGAATTTATGGTGGTTCCACCTTAAAAAACATAGTGGTTCATAGTATTTTCTAAGTTGATAAAACTTCGATATGAATGATATAATATGCAATAGCTTAATAACAAGATCAAGGTTGTTTTGCTTGTTGATAAGCCCTGGTACTTAAGATAACCAATCAGTTATGTCCTTTCCTTAAAGAAAACCATGGCGTTCAATCATGCCAAGAAAGGATAACCCAATGAGGTGACTGAAGAAATTAAAAATTACTTGAAATTCCTTGGTACAAATCGTAGTAGTACTTTTACATGTAAACTGAAATTTTCGAGACTCCAATTTTTAGTAATGTTATCATTAATCATTAATTTCAAATTTATTCTATTAATCGTTTTCAAAAAAATAATTTCAAACCTCGTTGCAATCAAAATCAGACGATGATAATGTTTGTAATGGGCTAAGTTAATATAAAATTTTTTAAGCATAAATTAGTTTCTGTTTAATTCTCTTGACACTTATGAGAGTTATGCAGTATAAATTTAGGCTCATAATGGATTAAGGTGTTATAAAAAGTATATTTTTATCGCTATTTTTATATTCATTCAATTAGTTTGTTCGTTCTACGGTACCTTGAGGAATGACATAATGTATTGTATTCTAAGATAGGGCGTATAATTATTTTATACAGTTTTATAAGAGATTTTCATTCTATTTTTAATGACAGTATAAATTCAGTATTTTAGAAGTTTAACCGTTGCTTTAATGTGAAGATCGTGGTTTTCTCGTCAACGACTATATCGAAGTCTGCAACAATAAGATTGTACTATCAATAGTATTATCAAACGCAGACTTTTTTGAATTAAAAAAATTATAATTGAAGCTAGGTGGCTGGGTTACATGTTTTCTTCAGGAACAACCAGCTGATATTGCTGCCGCTTTATTGGAATGAACTGTAGGTAAACATGGCATATTTATACCCATATTTATATATTTGTTAAAATCTGTCATAATGTCAAAAATTGCTTGATTCCAACCAACTGATAGAGCCAACCAAATATGCTGTTAGAAAGAAAAACACCTATTGATGAATGAAATTGTAAAGTAAATTGAAATAAGCTGTCAGACCGAATGATATTGATAAACAATGTATAAAAATTGATGAGAATTGATCCTCTGATATTCTTATGATGCTTTACCTAGGCGCATCCAGGAAAACGTCATTTTCTAATCTCTGTAGCTAATGATCCTAACATACCCAGAAATGGGGACAGCTATCCAGCTATATTTACTCCTATTTGACAATATCACTTCCAATTTTTGTAGATATTTTGCATAAATAGAAAGTGCTAACGATTAATTAACCTTCAAATATCTTCAAGAACCATTGATAAAATATATTCATGAAATATATTTATTTAGTTTTATTAGAAAATCGGCAATCTAAAAAAAATTTTAAAAAATTGCCTTAAATAAAAGTTTCCCGGTCAAAGAGGATTCAAAATTTAATAAAAATAGAAAACAGGAATTTTTTGTGATTGAATTGATTGATATTTTAAAAAATAATGAATAAAAAATTAAAATAGCAAAAATAAAAAAGTAAGGAAGAAATTTTGGCAACAAAATATTTTAAAAACATTTTTCTACTTTCATAAATCATAGTTTGCATCAATATTATTAAGATGGCTCCAAATTTTAAATACCTTGTATATATTATATATTATTTTAACGAACCTGTTTCAGTAATTAATAATTTATTGACATTTAAAAAATACAAAATAAATTAAGTGGCGAAAATGTGAGGTTGGGCAATAAATAAAAATTGTCGAGCAAAAATGATCAAATGAAAAGAATAAAATGTATGAGCTTGATTTTTGCCAAGTGGTGCTGTTGATCTGCCTGTTCTATATCCAAGTGATCTGCCTGTTCTATATCCAAGTGATCTGCCTGTTCTATATCCAAGTGAAATGAAAAAGAATTGTTTCTGCTAACCAACGGAGCCAATAAATTAGAAGTGGTGGCATGTGATGAAGGATTAAAAGGAGAAGAATTAGCAATAATAATTTAAATTGATCAATATTTTCACTTTCACCAATTATTGAACCCGATTTTGATCATTTTGTTTGAAAATACAGTCACTGCATATCAACCTAACAGCGTGTTGGTTACTTCGGATATAAGATTAAAACCAGTAATCGGTACAGCAACACCTGTATTCACAGCATTTTGAGCACAATCAGTCGTTAAGTTTAATAAATGCTGAAAAAAATTCGAAGCATTTCTGGCGAAAAAAACTTAAAAAACTTACAAGGATAAATTCGCACTTTCCAAATAAATTATCAGCTGTTACCAGCATTTATCAGCTGTCTCCAAAATAATAAATTAAAAAATACCAAATCTTACCACGTCTTATATATTTAATCGTTCCATACCAGTTTTAAAAAATATGAAAAATTATACAACGTGTTATAACACAGAATAACACAGAAGTAAGATAATAATTCAGGATGAATAGTAATTCAAATTGTGTTGGGAGTTCCAATCCTACAACCTCAAAGAAATATTAAAAAACCCAATCTAGATGGTACTGGTGATTCATCTATATAATATGCCTCCACTTGCAATATTTTTAACCGTACTAACAACCAGCAAGGCAAACCTAACCGTTATTCGTTAGGCTAGCTTTTTTGGCCATAAGTTAACACGTCAAGGTTAAGTTTGACGTCAATATAAATAAAAATAGAAATAGAACTCATTTATTATCCATCTAAGTCCCTATGAGTGCTGGCCCTATATGTAAAATCTTTCTTCACTGTTCATCCTCGCTTTTAAAACCATCCATCGTTTAGCAAATAAGGAAAAATAAGTCCTGTCGTGGGCGACAAAGAACATGCCCTAACCAGCCAAGACATGATGGTATTGCTAAATAGATGGTATCTGAAGGAAGGTGGATGCAATCATATGAGATTTTATTCGCTCAATACCAATAAAAAGTATGATATATCTTAAATATAATATCTTAAATATGATTGGTTAAAGGTAGATAACTTCTTAATATCCTCCACTCTTATTCTTAATATCCAAGCCATATCTCGCAGCCATATAACAAGATGGAGCGGTTGCAGCTATATAAACGTTTGATGGGGATTTCACAATGACTCCATAAAGCTTTTGCCAGCTGTAAGAACTTATTTCTAATTATCATTATTTGAGTTGTAATTTCGTCTTTTGGGAACTAATAGGAACTAAGAGAACAGGCTATTTAAAGTCGTCCTCAATCGGTAAAAAAAATAAGTATTTTATCAGCTCAGTATATAAGAGAATATTTATATTCTAAGTTCCGAATTTTTGCTACATTTATCTCTTATATTGGCTGATTTCTCGATAATTATCACAGTATTTCTTGCCACCTTTCTTGGAAATTAGGAGCAGAATTATTTTGCTCCAGCAATTCGATATTATTTATCATACCAGGAAAGTATTATAAGTACATTTGTTCAAGATGTATTATGAAGAACGATGGACAACATTTGAAGATTTCGGCCCTAAGACCTTCTTCACCTGAAGTTATATTGGTCTTAAGTTTATGGATAAGAGATTATTTTCTCTTCTGTTGCCAGATAACAGTGCAGACATATGGTCCGATGGGTATATCCGGGAATCAGTTATATCCGGGACAACGAGATGGCGCGTCGTAGTTGTTTCAAAGAATTCCTTTCACCTTACAAGACGATCCTTAATAACCATAACAAGCACACAATTTTTATCCCTTTTCATATCACTGATTATTCTTCGAATTATGGTTGCCTTGTGAAGAAGCTCCCATGGCGATTTCTATCGTGATACTGTTGTTGCAATTCTTCGAAGCATCAGGATCGCTTCGAACATTCGCGCTTTGTTAGCCTTATCGAGCGATTGGACCTTTTGCATCCAATACTAGCGCACTTCCTACTGATGTTTTCTAGCATAGAAGTGGCTAACTTTTGGAAGCATATCTTTAGTTGCGACCATTCGCCGTCCCAGAGATGTCGCTGATATTTATATATTATTAAGATGCTTCAATAACTAGGTTTGAAATGCTCTTACCATTCCCAAATATTTTGATATAAAATGGTTAAAAGATCTTCAGAAACTTCGGGAAATTTCTTGCGAGTGGTCAGTTTTATGTGGATACTTCGAAAGTATTTTGATTACTTTGGTTTAAATCAGTGGTTCTTAGTTTTTTTTTTTTGCGGCAAATACTTCTATCTTTGCAATGTATGTATCCTTTAGAAAAAATAATGATGTTTGTGTTACAAGATTGGGGCGACGAACTGCAAAATAATCTGAAATAATGAAATCTAGAGGATTTATTCAAAAATTGATTCGCTTTTTTAAACTAGATTTGCATGCATCTATGTGCTGACTCGATGATATCAAATTGCTGCTGATCCATATAGCCGTGATCGACAAGAAATGTTTTCATTATCAAATGAATTACAATATAAAATGCGAATACAGTTATCTCGAACAATAATTCGAACAGCAAGTGGAGAAATAAATCTACAACTTTCTCACTTCTTATAATGCTTGAATCGATGCATCCATTCAGATGAGCAAATGTCTTTGATCACGACTTTCTTCCACAACAATCAATTTGCCAGCCAATAAATACCAATAAATATCACTACCATTAAATCTGTTCTTTCAAAAGAGATTGTAGAGGGATAATTCAAGCTTTGGTTTAGAAAGCTAACAAATTCTTTTGCCGATGAGATATACTGTTCCTAGACGATATCACGCACCTATTGAACTAGCGCCATGCATCCCAAAGATTCGTTTACTCCAGGTTAAGAATAATTAGTAATTCAATTGAAGAAAAATATTTTGAAGAAAGATTTGTCGGGAAACTCCTATTAAAAAATAGTAAAAGATAGATAATATCAATTTTAACCTTGTAACTTGCATAACTTGCACTATTATCATAATTTGCGGTACCGTTATTTGTGGATTCTGAATTTGGTATGTATGGCGACCGCAGATTGGTGATTGTTGGATAATTGCTCATGAATTCTGATGAAGGAAATAAATGACTTTGCGATCCAGTAGATTCTGGAATTGGATTCATGTCTTTCATTTTCACAAATTCATGGAAATGAGTATAAGTTATGACAATCAAAAGTTCTCTTGAGAAGTCTTTCATTTTCAGGAATTCACGGAAATGAGTATGAGTTATGTCAATCAAAAATTCTCTTGAAAACTTTAAATTAATGCATAAATAGTATATAAATAATAAAGTTAACAAAATAACAAAATATATTAATTAGCAGTTTTGGGAAAAAAAACAGAAACATACGCATCTGTGATGAGAATACTGTTGGATATTCAACCTTACGTGCAGTAGTAGCAAATATATTATCGTCGAATTGTTTTGTGTACAACATATTAGGGAATGCAGCTACATTACTACCTAAGAAAAAGATGCTACAATAGATATCGAAGGCATTTTCAGATCAATTTGCCGAAAGAAACCAGCAACTAACCAGTATTAGCACCTGAATAATTTGGACAATAAAAGTCGGTAGATGATGACCAACAAGCAGCTGCCCATTGATTTGCTGAATCGCTTCGCGAATTTATGACAGTTGCTGCATCTGACGGTAGATATGCCGACAAATTTGTTATTGAGGATAACTGCTGGAATAGAATTAACGATGATCGGGTGTTGCAAAAGGTTTCTTTAAGTGCATCACTATTTACCAATATTTCTCGTAAAATTCTAAATCTAATTGTACAAAATTTTATATTGACCTGTGAAAAAGGCAAAATGCTAGGAATCGATGAATTTGATTCCGCTGTGGTACTGCATGCAAAAGCAGCGCAATAATCAGTTCCAGATGTTGATTCAGCTTCTGCAACGCGTGTGGCTACAGCTGGAGCTACGACATGACTTCGATCTACCAATTTCCTTTGATTACAGTAATTAATAAGTTGATTCGAATAACATTCCTGAAAAGAGCATATTTATACAATATTTATATATTTATATATACATATATATATTTATATACTGATTGCATCAAAATCTTTTGCCAGAAAAACTACTAAATTATTTGAAAAATTTTTTTGAGTTAAATAAGATTAAGTCTAGAATAGTACGGATAAATTTGAGGAAGAGTGAATTATTTGCAAGGTAGATGGTTGTTGAACTGATTGCTTCCTCTTTTTGCGACTTTTTATTTGCTGCTGCTTAATATCCAGATTGCTTAATTGTGCTGACCCTTGTAATCTGAACATAAGATACAAATTAATGGTTTTCCACAATATTGATAAGATCTGGCAAGAAGGATGAGCCGAACAAAGATGTTTAAATTGATAATTTTAACTATGTAGGACAAAACCATAGTGGACACAAAAGAAATTTAAGAAAATGTTGAAATTATAAAAACACATTGGAATTTATACAATTGTAAAATGTTGAAATAACTTTTTGTAACAGCTGTAAAGAGAAGAAAATTATGCAGAAAAAGCAGTTTTGATTTATTGATACGACTTTATAAAGCTAAAAATGGAACAGAATACTTCAGAAATAACCTAAGACTGCTGTTCGATTGAAAATACGATGTTTGGATCGGTGGACATAAGTCGTTTGATCCTTTAGCGAGCCCTTAAGAAAACAAAAACGTCTAGGAGAAGAAAAATAAATTAAATAAATAAAGAATTTGAGACGATTTGAGACGATTTGAAAGAATTAGAACCTTTTGAATAAACATTTAGCATGAGCTTATTACCCAATTACCCAATTACCCAATAATATTACCCAATATCATGCTTAGAAATGATGAATGTAAAAGTACTGAGGATGCAAAAGATAACATGGAACAAAGTTAGGAGATATACAAATGGATTAATTATTGGGCCAATAGATCACTTTGAACTATAAACTTTGCTATCTTAGAAACCCATACCTGAAGATGTTGAAGGTAGCGCTGCAGTTGATTGAAGATTTTGAGGTGACTGTAAAAGAGAATCATCAAAGGATAAAAGCTTAGTTTTCAAAGAGGCGCGTTTATCCAGTAGCATTGTCCCTTCTACTTCACTGAAAAATGTGCAAATGGTCAACAAAACACGCTTTGTAATATAATTTCAAAACAGCTACTGAAGCGTTTTGAGGAAAACAAGATAAATTATACACTAACGTAAGTAAGCGATGGGTCATGCCAATAGATTCTGGTTTGCCATTTTTGTAGAACATTCGACAACTACTTTGAATCCAATAAAGCCTTTGGCTTTGCACACTGATTAGTCGATAGATTAAAAGTCCACTAGCACCATTCTTCATAACTAAATAAGTTTTTAAACGTTGACTTAGTGGGAGCAATTCTTGACTAATTGTGATTCCAAAAAAATGTTGCTTGGCTATATTAGAACAGAAATCCTAGGAAAAGAGAATCATCTTTTGACTGCAATGATCCTTATTATAGCATTTTACAAAGCTGGAGGCGATTTATAGAGCTACTAAATTACACATTATATTTTTTACTCATTTACAGTCTTTACTTTTGATAAATAAATCGCATAAGGAATGGTATTTGTCCGCCTTCGCGATGGGAGATAAAGCATTAAAAGTGAAATAAGGTTGCTGATGTGGAGTTCCATCTGCACTTTCACCAACTAGTGACGCTGGCGCAAGATTTTTATTTTTATTCAATTCAGTAGTTTCCAGCCAAACGAGAAACCTGACCGTGCTGTTAAAAAAATCAATTTTTTGACAATGAAAATGGGACGGTTTAATGGCAATAACTTGGTAATTTCGCCTGAGAATAATTAAAATGCAGTAACCTTCTTTATGCGCTTCTGCCACGCAAATCGCATCATCGACATGAACCAATGTATAAAAACTATAAGGTAGATGCTTGTCATTCAACTCCAACACTAACCTAAAATAAATTTTGTGCTGTTGTATGAAATAGATAAACCAATGAACGAGAAGGTTTTCGGATGAAAAATCTCAATCATTATATATTTGCAAGGGCATAAATTTAATATTATTTGTTTCTAATATTTTTTATTATATTTTTATATTAAAATATATTTTAATTTCATTTGGTTAGAAATAAAGTGTGTACAAATTTGCTGTTTTTTTCGAATACCTCATTCGATTATCAGTTGATATCATAATCATATCAATTGAATGCTTCGTCTTCAAGATCGGATCTTCAAAGGGTTGATCAATGATAGTAGGAGGAACAAACGGACTAAATAGAATTGAATTAATCATAGAATTATTCAAGTATAGAAATGATCGCAAACAAGGTCCAATATAAAGAAAAAAAAGTGGATCGTTGCAATACAATGATCTTGTGGCATGGTTGCTTTAATTTAAATTAGAGTTAAGAGTTCTTTGGCAGAAGTAAATCTGTTATTAAAATATCCTACGATTTGGACTGTTGTGGACAGATTCCTTAGCAAAAATTTCTAATTAAACTAATTAACAGCGGAGCTAGCCATACAAGAAAAGGTGAAGGCTGTCCATTAACTAAAAAGTTCGCTATTTAAGGTTGAGATAAAAAAAATAGAATATTTTTATGCGTCAGTAGAACAATAGTGGATATAATTTTCGAAAAAATATGGAAAATATGAATAACCTGCAAACGGCAACTAATCCAAGGACAATTTCACCGGATGCCGGATGCATTTCTGTTCTTCCGAGCATGTAAGAATGCGGTAATCCATGGAGTGACATTAATTTTCCACGCACGTCGATTCTCTAAATTTGAATCTTCCAATAAAATTTTTTTCTGGGAATTTTTCTACGAGAATCTTTTTTATAACATAAATTCTAACAAATCAAAAAACTCTAATAAACAAAATTTTACCAAAAAGCCACATGTATTGTCCAATAAACAACGAAACCTAGCGTTAACATTTCTTTCCAGATAATATATTCCAGCTAAAATTTATTTGTCAGTTTATATAAATTTTATCGTAAATTTAATTTCTATTAAAAAATTAATTAATATAAAGATGACAGCAAGGATCCGATTTTTTTTCCGAAAATTTATACAAAAAAAAGGATTTTTCGAAAAAATTATTTTTTAAGTTAATTTGATAAATTTTCGGAGATTGGATGAAAAACCAATATAATGTGTTAATCTTTTTTAATCGGTACAAGCAACTGAATTTGGCTCAAAATACAGAAACAAATGAGATTAAAATAGAATTCAAATTTTAGATGATAGATAATAAACCTGGTGTTAGCAGATCTTGAAAATTAGTGATATGGGGTGGAACGTTGTAATTCCACGACAGTTGATTTTTTATATCTTCTCTATCTTCTGAATGTATCATCTCAAACAAAGGTTGATGGAGTATATCTGACTGAAGTTTGAAAAAATTTTCGTTTTAATCAAAAGAACATTTTAAGAACATCAATATTTCAAGTATTTTCTTATTCTTCTGAATATTTACCATTTATCTGCTACAATAATACCTCTTTGCCATAGAGTCACTTGGAAATAAAACTACTGAGGGGATCCGGCTTTTTACAAAAGAATAAATGCCATATTAGAGTAATAATCGATCTATTAGTCGAAGCAAAATATCATCCTAATCTCCTCTCATTTTTAATTTAGCAAATATAGTTTTTCAATGAAAAGATCTATTTATGATTCACTGTACTCAACACTTAAGAAGATGATATTGTTGAATATTTTTTTCTAACCTGGTGAAATCCTAAATATATTTCGATATTTTCCGAGGCGTAATATATTTCACCATTCTCGTTTAATATCAAAATGAAACCACCCAATGCCTGAAGTCATTTTAAATTATTTCTGACAATTTACTAATGCTATCTTAACATTACTGATAAAATCCAGTGTTTGGGAAAATATTTTAAAAGGTTTCATTAAATATTTTTTCTTTCAATTATTTCCACATTTTAAAATTTTTTCAGCGAAAATAAATGGAAGAAATTTTGAAACTAGAACAGAAGCATCCAAACCAGAAAACTAAAAATGCGCTCCATAAATCTGAAATTTTACTCATTGAGAATTGCAAATTCCATCGACAATGCGTTAATTTCACAAAAAAATCAAGTACTCCACTAAATATGCTTTTTTTTAAACTAAAAGGGATATAAAAATTAAAGTTTTTTATAAAATTATTAAATGGAGTTCCTTATTTATTTTTATACTTAACTATAATATAAAGGCAATTACGGCCCAAGAAAATTCCTCTGGCTCACCAAACGTTTGGACACCCGTGCTCTAGAACACAAATCCAAATTTATAAGACCTTTAGTGCCATTGTTTCAAAATCGTATTCCTTTGGGTCAACGAATGAATGTCCAGTAGATGCATGTACCATTGACGGTATGCCATCACAATGATTTGTAGATATATCTTGGAAATATGGATATGTATGCGTGAAGGCAAAGGGAAAATTTGTTATATACGGTGATCGATGTAGGCACGCTAAAATTTGACGAATTTTGTGATTTTTATTCCAATCTCATTCACTCAATCCCATCTAACCCAATAGTAGTCAAGCCTTTTGACATCTTTAATGATCAACACAGTTTGCCTTCTATTTATCCTCTGTTGTTTTAAAAAATTGCTAACCTAATTTAATTAATTTGATTATTTAATTAATTTAATTAATTTTATCTCACATTTTTTCTATTGTTAATATTCAGGTTAAATATCATTTCAACTGGTGAATGTTTGAGTCAGATAAATAATAAGATTATTGAAAGGAAAGATACATTGTAATTAATGAATTCAATGAACAACAGAGCGACGAGCAACACATCTTTGAGCAAATAAAGTGGATACGGTGGGAGATTATTAAATAAAAATATGACATGAAGAAAGCAGCAATTATCCCGTGAAATTGATAGGTATCACCAAGTGCTATGTGAAAAAATATTAGGTGCACCAAATTATTGATTGATCAAATTGTTATCAGAAGACATTAAGTGACATTGATCGCTCACGATTATTAAATGAATCGTCTTTTTCTGGCAGCACTTACCACTTCTGTCTTCATTGTTTATTAGTATGAATGAGACTTCTTTTTTAAAAATAGAACGACAAGTGAGTCCCGAACATCACCCGAAACAAATAAAAGAATAAATCGGATATTTCCATTCAATTTACCGCACATAAAGATTGAAAATGAATGTCATTACTGGATAAACTAAGATAAAAGTTGAGATTACTTAATGCAAGTTATAGAAAAAAAATTATATGCTGACGAATAGGTTACAAATGAAAATGATAGGGTCAATATTCTATAATGTAGCAAACTCATTTATAAGTTCAGACCTTATATAAAACCAATGTGTGCATGAAAGGTTCTTATATGAATTTAGCTGACAAATCCTTCAAATTTATTAGGTATGCATTTCTTTCTTTACCATTAACTTTTACCTTTTTTAAGATTATATTCTTAATGAAAAACGAATTTTTGGAAAAAAGTTATGGTCATTTTTTGTAATAATATGCTGTAATAATCTATTTTCATATTTGTGTTAACATCAAAAAAAGACCGCTGAGTTACGACAAATGAACATTGGTTACGTCACAATAAAGTAAGTACTCATAGCACTTTTTGCTAGTGACAGTAACCGATTATTAATATTTGATTATTATTTGCCGTTCATCAATTACGTATTTATAACACTTCTTGTTATTAAACAAAACCCATATATTATAATGGCTGAATTTGCTTAAATATTTTTATTGAAAAATTTAATAAAAAAGGAAATCGGAACAATGTAAAGTAAATAAATGAATGATATCGAAGAGATGTGATGAGTTACGAGATGACATAAGGTGATATAAGGAGTATCAGGGAAAATAAGTTTGAAGATACCAGTAGGTAGGATGGTTCATTTTTTTAATATATTATATTTCCTTGGGATTTCGTTAAAAAAAATTTTAAAATTCTTGAAAAATCAAGGCGATCGAAACTAATTGACATAGAACTTCTAGCAGCACCATTAGGTTTAAGCGATTAATTGACAAAAAAGACAATTAATTTATGAAAAAATTGCCCAATCTTTTGATTTCCCACGATTTTCACTTGTTTGCCAAAATAATTTTGCTTTTGTTCAATAATTACTAAAATAAAATATTAAAAGTTAAATTATTAAATTATTAAATTGAACCTTGAAAATGTGCTTTGATTTGAAGATAGCTTACTGCCAATCGCAATACACTAAGTTTATCAAGTCTGCAATACATACTTAGTATGATTCTTGTATTATCTACAGATAGTGATAATATGATGAAAATTGATATAATAAGAAATTACCTAGATATTATCGCTTGATCGAAAGGCAGCAAGGCAGCGACTGTTTCCAATTCGCTATTCAGTCGCTCTCGGTGTCTTTTACTTGGATTAGTTGTAGCACCTGGTTTTGAGATTTCACGTACTCTTAAATTATTCGATCAATATGCTTTTAAAATATTATCATGGATGTTAATCAGAAAGGTAGTCATAATGTTATGTATTATATATATATATAAATGACATTTGTTCTTCATATAATATGCGAGGTGGCAGATGCTTGACATATAAAAATATTTTTGGCATCACAAAAGTATTTGTAGGCAATAAAGCAAAAAACTGCCATGATTGCAGTATATAATTTGTATTTCCATCATCTGCTGTGAATTATATATTATTAAAAAGAACAATGATGGGCTCGATGGATTTCTACGCACCATATATCTTAAGCTTTCGAGAAATCCATTATAACTAACTAGTCAAGGACATTGGAGAAAAGATTGTTGAGTACCTCGCTTTGATTAAGGTCAAGCCCATGATTAAGATTAAAATTTCTATGATTAAGATCATAGATTGATTACCCACTTTTTCAGAGATTTTAAACCGTCATTAAAAAAGAAATATCTATGGCACTTCTATGCCTAATTGAAGTAAAGGATCCACAGAAAGAGCCTCATGGCTGTCTAGGAATAGAATTGCAAGTACGTCTATAACCACTGGAATTAAAAGTAAGTCTACAATACCACCCATTAGAATCGTTTAGGCACCAATTTATTATTAGCCTTCATTTTATAATAAAATTATTGGTCTCCTATTTTTTTATTTGCTTTTCATTTTTATTTTAATTGAAATGAAGTATGAAATAAATTCCTAAAAATAAATTTAATAAATTTCTAAAAACTTCAATCGTTATAAAATCCCTTATTGATTAGAATTGTAGTCATCATGAAGATATTGCAATAAACAAATTCATCATCGTTTTAACAGTGAAATCATTTTGAAACAGATGTTATCGAAAAGTCAAACACGAACAAAACGACTTGATTAATTTTTCAGGAAGGCATCCTCCCAAGAGGTATATGGTGTAGTAGAATCTTTATCATCTATCAGGCACCTTCAATATTCTTTGCTCAATGGTCTTTTTTTCTAACTCACCATCCACCATGTTTCTCAAATGTCAATTAGCTATCGCGCATAGCTCCTTATCATGCTTTTTATCTCTCTTTTAACTCGTACTACTGTAACTTAGAGTCACAGCTGCTGCTTGCCATTCATTTAATGTTGAATAAATCTTTTTTCTCGAATTATTAATTATTAATTAAATCCTTCATCATAAATAATATTTCGTTATTTCGAAATTTCGACTAGTTAGTTACAGTAGAATTTGAATTCTTTAACTAATTGCGTGAATTAAATTCAGCAAGAAGAAAATCGAATGGATAAAATGCTTGAATTTTTTTGATGTAATATTAAATTAATGGAAAAATCGCATAACGTGTTGCAACAATCATAAGTGCTAAAACAACCAATTGGTCGAATTATAGGACTGTGGTTAGTGGTCATCATTTTTGATTAAGCTAACCTCATTATTAGCATGTATAAATTTTTGCCAGAGAATTAATTGGTTAGAAATAAACTGGGTCGCCCCACCATCTGGATTTTTTGATGAATATTGGAAGCAAAAGCCAGACTCATAACTCAATTCATCTGGGCGATCCACTGCATTTTCCTGCGTCTATGAGATTAATTACGTTAAAATGATATGGAATTTCACAAATTTATTTCGCTTAATTAAGTTGTAATTAATATATAGTTAGGTTATTGACTCACTATCTTATACTTGTCAAGGAAAGGTCACAAAGGTCAATAATATGGTTTATATTTAAGAAGATGTGTCATCATCGTCATTTATTTTGCTAAGTATATAATTATATAACAAGAACTATTCATAAAAACATCTTGATTACGTTTTCTTAAAAATTAGGATCCTTAATAATTAAGTTAATTCAGCACGATGAATTGTGAATTTTTCTAAAATTTCACTATGTCGATATTACTTAGATTACACCAAAAATAGCAGTACGCGATTCTCTTAGGAGAGGGAACAGAAGGTCAAGTATTCTATTTTCTAATGGTAAGAAAATCGATGTTAAAATAAAAAAAATACGACAAGTAGAATTTGGTTAAAAATTTCACTTGACACTAAGTACTGAATAAATAACTTATGGAAATAATGATTGGCTTGTCAGACACAAATTTACCAAAGAATCTAGAGGTATAAGTGCAGATGTACATATACATATAAACATATACATCACCCAGATTTTTGACAATTTTAAACTTGACGGGTATAATTCAGCATTGGCGAGAGAAAAAAATTAGAACAAGCAAAGCCACACGTTTGTACGCGTAGAAAAAAAGAAAAAGTATAAGATAAAGCTCAAATGTTATATAAAATTTTTCATCTTCTTAAAATTTTTTTTACCATGCAAAATTGTCTCAAAGAATATTTCTAAAAATGCATTCCAAATTAATGGTTAGGGAAACATATTGATATTTTCATTAATAATTAAAAAGAATATCTTTTGTCAGTTTCTATAATTTTAATACTTTATTTTTTGGGAACAAATGTTGAAAGGAAATATTATTATAATACAAAGAAATACAAAGATATCGAAAAAATGCTTATCATTTCTGGTTTGGCTAGCTCCGATGCTTATTAATGTGAAAGGTCTCCAGAAAATTAAAAGGAGGTAAAGGAACACGTGGTTCTAAGTACCACTCGCATTTCATATTTGAGTGTCTACTTGTAAAGGAATAGAAATTGACATTGATTGACTTGAGTTTAGCTGAAATAATGTTGGAATTGATTATTTTATCCGGCTTTTAATTTAATTCAACCCTATGCAATCAAAAAAGTTTATTGTATAGATTAAAACTTTGTGACTAAATCTCATTTATTTCACCTTAAGACGATGAAACAAAAAGTCAATTTACCACGAATGGATTAATGGAGGCTTAATCCTACTCTTAATTAATTTTAATGCAGTAAATCATCCAGGAATATTGTTGATGATGTGGATATGAAATCACCGATGTTCAATAAATAATTTTCCGCTTGACTTGAGCACTTAACATATAATGATACTTATACAGCTATTGGCAGTATAATGAATAAATACCATACGGACAACAATTACTTGCTTATTACACTTAAACCATGCTCGAATAAGTAAATATCGCTTATCATTCGTTTAGAATTATATTTTAGAAAATACCAATTACTTGAGAGAAAAAATATAGCACATTTCACTCTATTGAAAAGAAACAAAAGGATCAATATGTATTACCTATCTTATTCGAATAGTGCTAAGTTTCCACGAGAACTCCTATATCTAAGTGGTTCTGTGGCGAAGGAATCACATCTTGCTAGTCGTGACATCAAACAAGAAATATGTTGCTTGGATAAAAAGTATATTACTTTCCACTTTTATTAAACGATAAGGATTTGGATGGTTAGGCAATAACTTTAAAATCTTCATAGCTTACAAAAAATAAAAATGAAGCAAAAATAAATTGAAATAAAATGAACTCAGTAGCATATGAAAAAAATTTGAGAAAAACGATTGATAACAATAAATTTTATAAATTTGAATAAACTACTATTTCGGAAAAAATTTGAAAAAAAATCGAGAAAACTCTCTTTTAAATAGGTCTTATAAATTATAAATCTTAACAAAAAATTTCATAGGAGAGAATTTTGAGGCCAATAATTTCGTAAAGAAAAAGGTACATTTTCGTTTGGTACATTATCGTTCGAAAAATTCGGAAAGTGTGCTTAAATAGAAAAGTAGATTGGATAATCGAGTGTATGATTTACTTTTAACAAATTCAAGCATAATAAGTTCGATTTCCCTATTTTTGCAATGCATTCTGCCAAATATTTCTTATCCTACTAATCAATGCATTTAGACAAATCAGAAATGGTGATTGCCGCAAGATGCGGAAAATTTAATGTTTTAAATATTTGAAAGTACATTTTATATAAAATTAAGTTTTAATCAAGTTATTCCTATTTGTAGTATTTGTTGCAATTAGTGAATCCCATGGATTTAGCTGATTTTTTATTGGTCATAAAATCGACAATCTTTTTAGAGCCCTTTATTTGAAGTTCTCGAAATTATGCAAGGTGACTTAATCGTACATTTGACAATCATAATCCACCACTAGTAACCACAAGGATGAAGCCGTCTCAATCATAAAATAACAAATTATAAAAGACACACAACGTTTCGTGATTCGTCTTCCATTCGGGAATCAGTAGCTTCATATTAGCTTTAGCACGCTATAATAATGTATAATAGTATTCTATCAGTGCCCTTTATGGTCCGCTAAAAAAAAATATTTTCAATACTTTTTCTTTCTCCATCCTTTTTTATAACTCTTTTAAATGACTTCTATTTATTCCCTATTATAAAAAAATTTTGCTGCTTTTTCTGCCAATTTCCAAGAATCCACAAGAAGTTAAAGAGTTGAGAAGTGCAAGCGTTAACCGACTGATATGATTGCTTCGACTTGCGTAGAGCTCATTTCTTTGATTTTAACTGTCATCAAAAAGCCAGGACAATTCTGAGCCCAAATGTACTTCTAGCAGTATCACCAAATGAGACCTTAGCGAAAATTTCCAATTAAAGAAGTCAGCGAATCGAAGAACCAGAAATAATAAGCGCTTGACACTTGTAAGGTAAAAGGCTTTCATTAAAATATGTTTTATGTAATGGCTAATAACGATCTAAGCCTTACGATTTTTGGAATTTTTTCATCTAAAGGCATTTTAAATACTGACTGAGTTATCGATGACAAAAATATATTCAATATTGCATTCATCTTTGCGTGAAATTTGTTGTCACGCAGTTCGTGACCACTAAACCCATTTCCAGTGAAAAACAGCATTTTTCGCCTTCCATTTCTTACGAGTTTTCGGCTATGTGCCTTAAATAGCACGCATCCTAGTGTTAACCTCGAGAAAAATAGAATCTTATTTTGGTGGTTTCATGAATGGTCGCTCCTCAATGCATTATATTCAAAAACCGTTACTAATGTGCAAGATTCATATTGCTAACAGTCATAAATTCTGATGCAGTCGGGTTACCGATTTACCGATATTTTCTTTTCGACAATTCTGCTCAGTCTATGCAAATATTTGTTATGGAATATTTAAATAAATGGAAAGGTTAGATTAATCTTTATTTTGAAAAAAAGAGCTGTGAATATTATAGTTCGCTTGAGGCTATTTCAAGGATGAATAAAGGTATAAACTTAGCTACTTTCCTGCCATAGTTCAACTTTTTGTCCTGTCCTCGTCTTTTGAACCACATGTATGTATATGAAATGGATATTAATTTATAGATTGAAATCGAATTATGGTTAAGTCAAATTATTGAAAAGTAAATTGTTGGTTTTGCAGATAACACAAATGAAATAAAATCAAAATAAAATCAGCAATTTGTCAAAACACAGATATCTTTTAATAAGTGTGAATGATAGCGTTTATACGTTATCACAAAATATTCAACGAAAAACATGGATAATTTATAAACATTATGAGTGATATTTTCTTTTATTAATGCATGAATAATGTTGCTTTTTTTGTTCCTTTAGTAGCATTTATCTCTAATTTAGTTGTTTTGATTGCTTTCATTGGTTATCAGGATGAGATCACTTATATATGGATAAAAGCATAGATGGATTTTCATTTTACTTACAAAGACAGATTTATTCCTGTCAAGGATCAAATCAATGATAATTTCACTTTAGTTAAGACATTCACTCATTATTTATTATTAAAATAGACAAAAAATTCGAATACGTTCCGAGATACTAATTACCTTTTAAAATTTCTTTGTCTTCGCTTACTCGCATACATATTTCATTAGCATTGAGTTGAAAATTTTTGCGATATGATTGCTTGTAATAGGCTCTTCTAAATATAAAAAAATCATATAGATGATAAGGACATAATACGAAAATATCGGAAGATAAATTATGAAATGCACTCTAATTGCTCATTGCATCATAATACTTACAAATAGGTTAGAAAAAATAGAATCAACTGAAGAAAATATTAATAATTTCCCATAAGCAAAATATTTTGAAATATAATTGCATAGACAGGCATAATATATCATCTTTTCTGCTAAAAATTTTTATATTTCTGTTTATGATTTTTTCTTTTTCGTAATTCTTAATAAGAAATCATAATATTATTCAAAAAAAATCAGCGGAAAAATAGAAATACAACATGATTTTGGTCTTTTTTTGCAATCTATCTTAATGGATACCAGAATATCTTAAGGACTATGGCTTAATTTTTTTGAATTACAGGGCTTATGCTAAAGTTTTTTTTGTTTTCTTATTTATTTACTCTAACCAAAACCTATTAGTTGAGGACTTAATCATTTTTCATCATCGCCATAATCATTATAATCTTCATCTTTTATTACTAACATAGACATAATTTTGAGACCATCTCCGAAATATTGATTGGGCGACTAGGAGAAGTAGGGATCAAGCACGCAATCTTTCCGATCTTCCCAACATATTTTTCTAGAAATACTATCACGCCAATCATCTCATCAACACGCAACTGTACATATATATATGTGTGCAAGTTAAAATGATAATTAAGCCACGCAATCATACGGAAGTATATCTCTAATAATCATAAATAATGAGTGATGAGGCGTGAAAAAACGTGTTAAGAAATTTAATTGGAATATTATAAATCCATATAAAAATGAAAATAAAAATGGATCGCCAACCTTTATATCGTTCGTTACCTGCAATATTGTTGTCAACGTGCGTGCAATTGGTTACCTGCAAGGGTTACAGTAAAATTTCTTTAAAACAGCCGATCTCGACACGCAAATAAACTCTTAAGTGGTTATTTTCCATTTGAGAAGGCGTGTCATGGATTATAAATATTGCTCAATTCTCGTTCGCTAGTAGTAATAGCAGGCCTTAAGGCAAAGGCGTGGCAATGATCAGATACGGTAAGCCAGTCGATTGATTTTAGATGATGAGCTTATAAATTTTTTAAAAATTAATTTTGAAAATGGTTATTAGAATAACGAAATCGATCGACCATAAGGTATTCGTATATTGCAGAAATAAGTAAACTTGGAGAATTGAATTTATTCAGTTTTAAATGGATAAGCAAATGCTAAAATATTTTAGCTAAGCTTAGCATATACTGCTCTCTCTTGAAAAGAGCAAACCTTTCGTTGGAACTTATCTATGCTTCTATCCTCACAAATGACTTCTCTATTAAGCAGGCTGTGCCATGCTAGCAACAAACGAGCAAATTAAAAATGGCGCTTTTAGATGATAATACATATCTCTGTCGCATAGTGGTCCCAAAAACATGCTATCATCCAGTTACAAAATAATTTAAATGTCTGGTCTAACAATTTCCAAAAACAGAAGAAAATTATTTTGACGATGGCTTCCAGTGAAAAAACGTCGATATAAGCTTTGATATATTTATTTGTGTGGTTTCTATCATTACTTTTCTTCATCAATTTCAAAAATATAACGATGCCCAATTCATTTCTTCAATATATTCCTTTACTGAGGAAATATAAAACTTTTATCATACTCATTTGTCGAAAAATATTTCATAGCGTCCCGATATTTTAAGCTATATAGGATTTAAATTTGAGAAATAATTCTCACTTTATCTTACTGAAATTGCATCTCAATTGCCTCATATAATGCAAATGCAAATGGAACCAATATTGACTATCTTGTATAATTTTTTTCTTCATGTTTTGTACATCATAAATAATGTATAAATAAAGAAAATTAAACAATCATTCAATAATATATTATAGCAATTTCGTCAAAAAAGATTTTAAATTTATTAATAATTATTTTTTCTATTTATGTTACTTATTTTTTTCATTTATCAACATCAATAAACTTTAGAAAACAAGAATAATCCAATAAAAACCGACAAGAAAAAAAAATATTAGGAGGAGAGCTATCAAAATCAAATTTAAAAGTAAAAATTAAAAATATATATAAATATAAAAATATATTTATATTTACAAAAAATCAATTATGTATGAAAAAATTACAGTCTCTGCAAAAAAAAAACGATTCCTACTAATAATAATAATAATCAACTGCTCATTAAAAAAATTTCTCAAAAATTTATAGAACAAGAATTATCAGTGAAACCATTAAAAAAACATTACTTCCTTTTAAAATCACTCTTTCAAAGAAAAATGGTTAGTAGTATTATAAGAATTGTATGCTAAGCATAAAGTGTGGGCTATATCTTTATATAAAAATTTATATAATTGTTTAATCATAGATCATAAGGATTATGAGTTCATCATTTTCTGCAGTTGATGTACCTCCAATTTGTATTATATAAAAAAGAAATAATCTGTTAAAAATAAAAAATAAAAAAGAAAAGATCAATTTTGTCTTAGCGCAGCAAGTCGTTGAGTGAGTTCATCATTTTCTGCAGTTGATGTACCAACACGACCTCCAATTGTTGTTGTTGCTTGCGATGGCATTTCCAAGTTCAGTTCCAATCTGAAAGGAAATTTTTTATAAAAACAAACTAGAAAAATTTTAAAAAATATATATATAAAAACTTTTATAAAATGTAAAAAAAGAAATTTAATAACAAACCCGGCTTTATCTGCGGCTTCTTGTATCAGCGCATTTACTTGAGCCTGTGGTACATTTAACGTGGTAGTAGCATTCATTGATCCTTCCATGGTAGCTGATTGAACATCGAGATTTTCGAAATCTTTCTCGAACCGATCCATTAAATTTTGAACTTTCTCGAGATTCATTGATCTCATAGCTGATTCCATGGCTTTCACCACACCAGACATACCTTGAGTCACACGTTTTTGTGTTGCAGCAGTCTAAAAAAATGCCTTTATAGTTCAAACTGTACAGACCAAACTCGGAATTTTACGATTTATTTAATAGCTAGCCATGAACTAGCTGGTTTTAATAACTAAACTACATTATTATTAATTATAATTACATTATTGAAAGTTTGTAAATTTCATTCTATCTAGTATTCTAAAAATCATATTAAAAATGACGAAATTATGGAAAATAATAATTGCAATTTACCTGAACACGAGCAGCGACAGCATCGATTCTTGCTGACATACGAATGTAGTTAAGAGCTTCGTTCTTTTTTCTGATGGCATTTTCTGCATGAACCTGCGCAACCTCCATATTTCCTTTCTATAAAAGCAGAATGATATAAACAAAAGTAGATAAAAATATCAAAATTTATAGAAACAGAAACAAAACAGATAATTAAATGGAAATCAGAAAAAATTTTAAAAAATTAAGGAAAAGGAAAATTAAGAAAGAAAAAATTAAGAAATTAAAAAACCATGAAAAATCAATAAAGCAAACGCTGGAACTCAAGGAAATGATTTAAATGTCGACACATAAATATATCAAAACATGAACAATTAAAAAATATATAAATAAAATATAAATATATATAATTAATATACAATTCACATTCAGTTTTGTGGGCAGTGATAAGGCTTATAAAATCAAGAAAGTGAAGAAATTTGTTAAATCAACTAAAGACGCTTGAGACATAAAATAAAATAGTATTTGATGATGAGAAAATAATACAAGCTCAAGCTCGAGAGTGGATGAAGATATTCTTTGCTGATAGTTCAGTAAGAGGAAAAAACTCGTGTTCTCACCCGACATTAGAAAACTGGGAAGAAAAGTAAAAGGAAAGAAAAGGAAGAAGAATCCCAGGTAATCGAATAGAGAGAAAGGTACAGTAAGGGTGAGGCCGTACGCCAGTGCTGCTCATAACCGAAAACTAGCAAAGGCAGAAGAGAAAAGAAAAAATGAAAAAGTGTAGGCAAAAATTACTTTTATAGCATTTGTAAGTTTTGTCTTCTCTTCTTTTTCCTGCTTTTCGCATCGTTTTGCGTTGCGCTGTAATTCTTTCGCGGCGAATTTTAAATTAAATACGTGATCTATAAGAAAATAAGAAAAAAACACGAAAAGACTTCTGAAATGCTTCATCAACTAATAAAAAAGGAGAAACAAAATTATAACATTAAAAAACTGAAGGATTAGCCCAAATTACGAAATATGGACGGAAAAAACGAACTATCAAGTGACATTCTTCTTCCTTTGACACAATTTCGACTCAATTAAGAAGAAAAGTAACTGAAAAATTCAAAAATTAATTACGGAATGTCCATACTATGACAGCTAAAATCACTCTCACAAATCACGTAACGAGAAATACGGTTAATCCGAAATACCAAAATAAATCCCCAGGATAACTTCTTAGCGCGAACGACACCACCTCCTTTCACCGCCTGCAAATATTTCCTGACGATTAGGGCACAAATCACAAACAAAAAAAGAAAGGAAGTACGTTGTATAGTAATCCTATTTTGCGGCTTCGCGGATCATTGCATCAACGCGTAAATCGTAGAGGAATTTTCCATCAATGCTGTGTTCCAATCATCCATTGTTAGTTGCTTCGTAAGAAGTTTTATAAAAAAAAATATAAAATGGATTGAATAAATATTTCTGTTTGTGTTTGCAGCAGCAATTATTCTTTAAAAATATCCCTTTTTATATTTTCGTATTTGAATTTTACTCGCAATTTAATAAAGAAGAAGCAAGAAAATTGGCTTAAATTTAATTAATATTCGCCTTAAATCTTTAAAATTACTTTAGTGACAATGGCAGTTAAAGTTAACGGCGATTAACAGTGATAAAAATATCGAAGGAAAGGAAATGTGAATGATAAAGTGGCAAAGGTCGTTTCAAGTTTCGTTAATGTGCCGTAAGGTTTATCGAGGTGCGGCGACGTTGGCTTTGCTTCGGCGGAAGACGAAGGACGGCGGGCGGCTGCGCACTGCACTGGTGCTGTGGCTGAAGTAAAGAAAGTCAGTTTCTGAGACAGTTCTCCGGGAAAACCTCTCAGCCATATAGTGATTGCCATTTATATGCGTTTTGCGCGCTGCCAACTCGCTTCCTAGTCCTTCCGTTGCATTGCGAAGACCGTGCCAGCAGTGTCAAATCGTTCTCGGATAATTCGTGGAAAGCCTCTTTGCTTAAATAGGATAGCAACAATATATCGTAAATTCTACAGGCTTCGCTAACTCTTAGCGGTGTTATAGGTTGACGAAAGTTGGGCGTTTTTGATTTGCATTAGAGAATTGTTAACACTCGCGATGCTTCGTTTCAGCATTTTCGATTTTCATTACAAAGCAAAGCATTATTTTAAGCAAGTTGCTTTAAAATATACTGTTAGTACCATCAGCCTTTAGTTTTGCGACAAAACTGCAAGCGAGGACAAAATCGCATCTCAGTCTATGGGCTTCAGTGCAACATTGAAGTATATCTAATTGTCGGCTTCCACTTTTAATAGGTCGCTTGTTCAATTCAGTGGTTCATTCGGCGTTTATAGCGGAGGGATATCCGATCTGATCTACCAGATCGAAGCTGTATAACTGGTATTTTGTATAAGTGCTAAAGGGTCCACTGGGTCTTATATGAAATATAAAATACATTAATAAAATACATAGCCTAAGTTATATGCGTAAATGCTGGTTTAATAATATTTATTCATTTAATTAGTTAATTTTATTGTAATTTAAACGTGTTGTTTTAGAAATTGAAGGAAGCGAGAGATGATTCGCGAGTTGGATCCGATAAAGCAGTCGCTAATTGCATCTCTTTTCACGTGGGGAGTTACTGCGCTTGGCGCAGCTGTTGTTTTTATTATTCCACCGTATAGCAAGAAATTTTTAGGTTATTTATTGTTGTCGTTAATTAGACTTTGTAGGTTTTTTTAAAATTTGAAACCTTCCGTATTTTCCGTATTTTTTATCAGTTTTCGATCTTTAAAAGAAATTGGAATATGGTAATTGACCAACATTTACCATTTGCTGGTCTAATTTTTTTGCTTTATTTTTTTTCTGTTACTCTGAACTCGACAAAATATTTTCTAAGTGTTTTGTTCGTAACTTTCTGTTTTTTTCGGTTAGTGATTTCCAGAAATGTGCTTCTGAATCGCTGTTTTTGAATTAAACATATACTTTGGATCATTTTTAGACATTAGTTTGGGCTTTGCTGCTGGAGTGATGACAGCTGCGTCGTTTTGGAGCTTGCTTGCACCAGCAATTGAACTATCGGAATCGAAAATGGGTGCACTGGCATTCGTCCCGGTTTCGGTGGGTTTTGCTGTGGGAGCTGCTTTTGTTTATCTTGCTGATCGGCTTATGCCAAAGTTAGATTTTCAGTCTTCTTTTTTCCTGGATTTTTTGAAATTAATTAAGTAAACATTTTAAGTGTAAAAGTGTAAATTTTTAGAAATATGTGCCAATTTTAGATGCGTTTTATCAGAGATGGCAATCGTAGATTTGTTAACGGATGATGCTTCTATAGCTCCTGTAGCAATAGCCAAAAATTCTCCCGATTATGAACTGAAAGAAGTTGGTTGTAAAGATAATAAAGTCGAAAACAGTGAAGCCACATCTCAGTGGAATGAACGGTATGGAACAACCAATAATAACTTCCGCATTATCCGACGACGGTTTAGCCGTTTTAGGTCGGCCATGTATTATTCCTCAGTTATGGCTATTCAGTGTTCTTATTCTTTTCTCTCAATATCAAAAATTAATATTAAATTAATAATTAGAAGCGAACGAATTTTTGTCATATTTTCTATTTTAAATTTTCCATTTTAAAATAAATCCATGAAAAATTGCCCGCTCATAATTTGGCTGAGTCTTCATTTTTCTTGTCTCAGTTTTATTATCTTTTGTATAGTATATTTTGTTTTGACCTAACACTGTTTATACCTTTTTAATCTCTTGCATATTTCTTAATTTTTTATGTTCCTTAGTCTTAAAAAATTGTGTTATTTATTTTATTTATATTGTTTTATATATTTTATTTATTAAACAGGTTATAGAAGACCTGAAACAAGCGATAGTGGAACAATCGGCGACTCTTGCAGGAAGCCATCAGAAACTGCGACTTCAACGGTATCGCTGATGGGGTTATCTTCAAACCATGCAACAAACAAAGAAAAAACAGTAATTGCAGCACTATCTTGGCGACGCATAGTTTTGCTCATCATTGCAATCACAGTACATAACATTCCAGAAGGACTTGCAGTTGGCGTCGCTTTTGGTAGCTCGTTGTTTATTATGTAGTATTTTATTTTTGCAGTGTTTTGCAGCATTTTGCGGTGTGCAGTATTTAATTTTTAATACATTTAAATTTTTAATATAATATAATAATAAAATATAAATTTTTTAAAGGTTCAATCGGGAAAACAGCTAAGGCAACTTTTGAATCAGCATTTAATTTAGCTCTTGGTATTGGACTGCAAAATTTCCCTGAGGGTCTTGCAGTTTCATTGCCTTTGGCTGGCTTTGGTCATAGCAAGTTTAAAGCATTCTTTTATGGTCAACTATCAGGTATATATTTTATTTGTCTTTCCTATTGATATTGTACTTCTGTTTTGCTGTAGCGCAGATCTGGATTTATTTGATTTTTTTAAAATTTGTTTGGAAAACAAGAGTTATAAAACAATTTCTATGACATAGTTTGTTTGCACTTGTTTTTTTGAAAAATCTCTCAAGCACCATTATGTTAACCAAATTTTTTAATTTTAATTTTAATTTTTTAAAGAATTTTAAGAAAATTGGCATTATCCGTTCTCTTAAAGCATTTTGTCGAATTTTTTTAAAATACACTTCAACATTATTATACTCGTTTTAAGGTACGTTAGTCGCTGTAAATTCAAGCTTTTTTCTAGTGGGCAGTGATTTAGACTTGATATATAATATTGAACTATTTGTTAATATATTTCCTTTTTTTTTCGTTTCATCTTTCTTGTTATTATTGCTCATTTTTCATAATTATTTATAAGGTCATCCTAAAAGTTTTGCCGTTTTTTTGGCCTAATCATTATTTTAATTCAAAATAGACATTCAAAATAGACATTACGTCAACATACTTTTGTCATCATGATATAGGTGCTTTTATTTCATTTGTCCGAAATTTCGAATTTCTGGAATTAATGAACTACTGGAAGATGATTTTTGCAAAATGACTCTTGTGACGTCTGTTCTAGCGTTGCCGTATAGAATGATGGGATCTTTATGCTTGATTACTAATTGTCATATTTTTTATTCCCGGTGGCCTATTTCCAATTAGCACGTTTTAAGATACTGTGCATCAGTCCCACAGCACAAATGAATATTCGAATAAATATTTCGGCATGGATCGAGTGAATTCATCCTTGTGCCGTTTCAATCTTTTTCTCTTGTGTAGAATTAAAAATTTCTAGAAATTTCTAGAAAAAGTCATGTCATTTTTATGTCATTTTAGCATCGAACATTAGATCTCCAAACGTATTTTCTGATTCCCGCTTAATTCTTAGGGTGCCCATTTATCAAATTTTTTCTTCATTTCACGAATATGATTCCATATGGTATTATGTGATGTTATATGATGCTCCAAATTTTTGCTAAATTTGTTCAACTCCTTGCAAGACCAGTTCCTTCAGTTCTCTCTACAGAAGCCTGTCTGCAATGAGATATCTTCGAGATTGCTATCTGCGAGATTGAACTTCACGAATTAATCTTGTTCTTTTCTTTGTTTAGATGTATCGTCATCAAAAGTTATTGTCATATTGCAAGGTGCCGATACCTCTGTCGATACACCATTTTAAACTCATAAATTGTCACAGTTCGAAAAAATCGTTGAATATGAAATTTGATTACCTAGATTACCTAGAAAAAAGTGAAACTTTTCAATGAAAAGAAACTAGAGATCACACTATTAGCTCAGCCAGAAGGCAAAAATATATGGTCCCATATGTAGACACCAAAGAACGGCAAGAACTGTTAAAATGACATAACAATATAAAATCTACAAATACCAAAGATTTTAATTTTTAAATCTTTTCAGGAAGTAAATATTTAATTTCTTCTGCTAAAAAATGTTTTATTTTATATTTAAAATAGTTCAGTTCTTTAGAAAATTTCTACTGTTTTTCAGGTATGGTCGAACCAATCGCTGCATTAGCTGGTGCGACTGCTGTTTTAAAAATGGAATTCGTATTACCCTACGCTTTAAGTTTTGCAGCTGGAGCTATGATATATGTTGTTGTGGATGACATTATTCCTGAAGCTCAGAGAAATGGTAATGGGAAATTAGCATCGATTGGTGCAATATTAGGTTTTATAATCATGATGTCACTAGACGTTGGTCTTGGATAATTTTTTTATTAAATGTTTAGTGGCTGATCAGTGCATCAGAAATCTTCATTTAGTTCTAAAGTTGTGTTATTTGAAGTTGTATTATTAAAATTTGAATATGTATTTTTAAGTTCCTTATGAACAAAACTATAAGATGTTTGAAGGAATTATTTTCATATTTCTATTTTCATCAGAATTTTTTACCATTTATTCCGCTCAAATTATTTTCATCGAAGATTTCTCGAGCTGGAATTATTATTTTTATATATTTTCTATTATTGTTTTATATCGTTAATATCAAGATATTTTTAAGTGGAATAGAAAGCTGTGGTTGAAAAAACTCGAATTCGATCGTTTCTTTCTATTTGCTACGAAAATTTAATTCCACTGAATTTAAACATTTTATTTTCAAGAAATTTTTTTTATGTTAAATTTTTCTATGCAGTTATGCGAGAATTAAATTTTAAATTTTGTTTAATTTTGTTATTTTTAAGAATGAAGTTGAAGATTTTTATTGAACTTAGTTCTGCTGAATGATTTTTTTAAACAAATTTTCGAATGGTGAAATTATTTTATCAAAACTTTTGGCAATAATTTTTTAAATTGTGATAGTAATTTTAGTTTTTTTTAACTTTTTTTTGCTTCCATTTTTTGGCTATTTTTTATAATTTTTGCCTTTTTAAATTTAATTTTTAAAATTATAGAAATTATAGAAAATTATAGAAAATCAATTCATCAACAATTCTTGTTTTTCTTGTTTTGTCGGTTAAATTTCTTAGTTTTCCATTTCCATTCACATTTCCATTTTTTATTTATTTTTTTATTTTATATTTTCTTTTTTTTAAGTTTTATCTCAAAATCAAAATTATTCTTTCTTCATTCTTTTTTTTCTTAAAATTTCATCTATAATCATTGCTGAATAACTGTCCAATTCTATTTGTAAATTATCCAATTCTATTTGTTTACATTCTTATCGAATTCACATTTCGGTGTTAATTTTGTTTTGAGGCCCAATTTTTTCTTCATTCCTTTTTTTTTCAGTGATTGTTTTGAGGTCCAATGGAGTATCGGTTGTTTCCTTTTTCGTTTCTATTTTTTTCTATTTTTTAATATGTGATTGTTTTTTGCTGGTAATGATTATATATTTTACATACAAGAAAGTGCCATTTTTCTTATTGCTGTTAAAAATTTTTATTTATATCTTACTTTGCCCGTTATCTGCTTTATCCAAAAAATGGAAAAGTAGAAAAATAAATCCAAACTTTTTATTCTTTTTGTAGAATTATTTTCAAATTGTTTGGATTTCAAATTTTATTTTAAATTTTCTTCAATTTTGTTTAAAGCAGCAATACAGAGCAATTTAATGAATTTATCCATTTCGTAAAATTAGTCGTTATTCTACTAATAATTCAAATAACAACATCTGTTATCGCCTAGAGAACTATTTGTGGTTTTATCTGTGGTTTTGTGCTTATCTGCTTAGTTGTCGACGGTATGCGATAATTTTTGTGAATTTTTTTAGAATAAATAATATTCAAATAATTAAGGTAGGGTTGAACGAAAATGCGCGTAAACATTGCATTTCGTGCCGTTCGTCGAACTTACGCGGATTTGGATTATGCTATGCACATGCCGAAAAATTACGTGGAAAGAATGAAGAGAATTGTACCAAAAAAAATATATGGGAATCGTTTTGGCGCTCCAGATCTCATTCGATGGACGTGGGTTTTTAAATTAAATATTTAAGGGGGTCTATGAAATTCATAGCTGAAACTTCATTAGAAAATAAGGATGATTGTAAAAAAAAGTTGGATTTAAAAGTGCTGTTTAATAACATTTTTGATTAGTTGATTAGTTTGCATGTATTTGAATATTTTTTAAAAAAATTGGATTTTTGGATTTGTCTAAATATTTTTTGATTTTTTAATCCAAGTCTAAATTTTTATTCTCCGTTATCCATAAAAATGAAATGAGCAGAGGATTCTGGAGATTAATTGGAGCGAAATGCGGCGATCTTTTTAAATTAGATTTTTCAAGACTACGCCCTGAAGATTATGAATTTGGGAAAGAACGACCATGGACTGCAGAAGAACTAAAAAAAAGCACACGACGGGCAAATGAATATCAGCACTGGAGATTAGGCCTAGCCAAAAGAAATGCTTGGCTTAAAAAAGATTTACTGTAAGTTCCCTAGCTTTTTAAACTATACTAGGGTGGTTGATACTTCGTTGTTTTAACTCACAATTATTTTTGCAAAACTGGAAAACCGCAAAAAGATTTAAATAGAAATTAAATTTTTATTCAAGCCAAATTATTTGAAAGTTTTGAAGAAATAGTTTTGGCTCGTTATTTTATCAAAAGGCTTTTCATATCCTAGCATTGTATTTATGCTTGCTAAAAATCGATTGGTAATTAATTATTTTAGAAAGACTGAACGGGTTCCCAGTGAAGAGTGGACTATATTCCCTGGAGATGTAGTGCAGGTTATGGTAGGTAAAGATAAAGGAAAACAAGGAACAGTGTCTCATGTCATTCGTGACATTAATATTGTTTTTGTGCAGGGAATGCACATGGTAAATTTTATAATTTTTCTATTTTAACTTTTATATGATGAGCTTTTTTTGTAATCAACAAACTAGTTTTTTTATTTATTTCAATTTTTTACTTTGTTTAATCAATTTTGTTGATTGAAAACAGTTTTAATGCAAAATCTTCATCATAAAGTATTTTTTGTTGAGAATTTTAATAAAAAAATTGCAGAAATTGCTGAATTTTGCAGATTCTGAAGGACCAAGAAAAAACAAAAAGGTTTGGAGTAAAAGAACCTTTGACTTGGGAAGAACAACCGTTGGATGTTACAAAAAATCAAGTGAAATTAGTTGATCCAAACGATAAGTGCGTTTAAGCCCATTCTAATGTAATAAGAGAAACAAAAATATTGATTTGAACTTCTAGTTCTCACAAATCAATTCAAGAAAATGAAACTGTTTTTATTTATAGTGAGCCATGTGAAGCTAAATGGATTTTGAATGCGGAAGAAACTGATTATATACGGGTGAGCACTCGATCGGGATATGAGATCCCATTACCAAAGCGAGCCTTCGTTACATATGATTATATTATTCCGGAGAAATATATGGGTATTTTTAAAATCTTTTTTAATTTAAATTTTCCTAATTTGTTCTAGAAATTGCTTCCTCAGAGAATTTTAAATGAAATATTACCACGTATAAAAGTATAATATTTGTAAGTTTTCCGACTGAAGTGATTATATTGGATATTGGTCCTTTTCAGAAGTTGCTGATAAGGATACTCCGGCAAAAATCGTATTACAGCAAACATACGTCCCTAAATTATCATCGTTTGAAGACGATATCATGGAAGACATGGGTATTCGAGAAAAGAGAAAAGCTAAGTCCACTTATTGGTATTAGTATACGAGATATAGCATTGGTCCAGTTCCGATGAAAATTCAAATCCCTGCTGTTTCATTTCTAATTAAATTTCTGTTTTAAAAGCTATCAAGTTTCATATAAATTATAGATAACAAATTATCGTGCAAAATTATCAGAAATTCTATGGTTAATATTGTAAATATTTTGTTTTTCATATCTTTTAATTCTTTTCATTTGTAGTTCAAATGTAGTTTTAATTATTTATAAAAAATGTTTTAAAATATTCAGAGTTTGGCTATGCTTAATTTATGTGTTAGAGATGAAAATTTCGAATTTATGTTAAATTCATACTGAATTAGTATTATTGAATTGTTCTATTCTATCTATTCATAAACACCGTCAAATTCTAACTTAAAGTTTGATGACTTTTTGATTTTTAATGACTTTAATGACTTGATATTTTAATGACTTTTAATTAATGAAATGATTTCGCTTTCGTTTGTAAAGAAATTTTGCGATGATAAATAGTGCATTGCCAGATGAGCCTAGCATGCCATACTTTGGTCCAGAAGTGCCTGGGTTCCCGTTGTACTAGAACGTCCCACTGGCCCAACTGGGAATTTGGCTTTTTCATCGCGTTCGGGCGATCTAGCTGGTTTCGCAAGCCCTGATGGTCTTGAAAAGTAAAAATAATTTACTTAATAGACAGAATTTTCTCTCGGGGTTCAGCGTGGTCAAGGTGGGCGTGATGATTAGCAATTTCTTGTGATCTCACAAATGCAGTGTGTTTGAGGCCTTCCAGTTTTTCTTTATGGAAAGTCTTTCAATTTGTCTAGCATTTATTTCCAATAATGTTATCCATTTCATTCATAATGTCATATAAAATTTTTGATAGCATTCCAACTGTGACGAGTGATATTGTGTTGACCAGGCCATTTAACTCTGGCGTATCGCATTATATCCCCATTTTTTGCCCATCTAAAAATGCTCCTCTCTATGCATGAAAAAAGGAATTAGTCGATCATAAAGAATAGCAAAATAATACAGTCAAATAAGCCATTATTATTTTGACTGCAATCAGTCGGTCACCTACACAGACGGATCTTGCAGAGATATGAAATCTACCTGACAGATGAAAAATTTTTATGAATTGGTAGTTAAGTTGGTTTATGCTTTCAGCTGTTTCGACCTGTTTTAGTTTTATATAAATGGAACTTGTTTGTAATTTTTAGATTTCGACGTTTCATAACGCGTTACAATTCATTTAAGCATAAAATTCTTAAAGTGTGATTGCCATTTATCTGATGAACAGTGCATAAAAAATTCTTAACATTTGTGTTAGTCTATGTTGTTTGAGTTTCTTGGTCAAGAACTTTTGCTAGAAATAATGATTCATTGGAAACGGCTTCCTCCTCATTCGACTAACACTACCACTATTGCTAATTCATCTTCCTATTTCAATAGCGTAGACATGAGAATAAGACTCATTCATACACATGAAATATGAATAGACAACATAGTAATAGGCACATAGCCGAATTATTGTTGATGAGACGATGTTTACGATGCAAAGTCATTTTATATCAAGCATTAAATTTTTGAAATTTTTAACGGATCTAAATGCCATATTTTTTTTTATTAGTGACTAAATCTTAAGATGTTTAATTATCTAATAATATCGTGTTATTGAAAGGCAAGGATCCATTGAACAGTTTGTATGGTGATCTCTGGCCATTTATACTTTTATCATTAGCAAATTTCTAATTTTCTAATAACAGCTTAACGACTAAATGAACTAGCTTATCCATGTTGAACGCTAATCGCTTTCTTAATTTTTCAATCATAATTGATCATTCTTCTTCTTCTTATAGTTGTCTTCATCACAGGATTCGGCAAGTAGCGAAACTTTATGTCAACTCCTGTGATGGACGACAGAGGATATTCCCTAACCTGAGAAAGCGGAATTTGATAACATTGTTAATAGAGGTGATGTTTGAGCCAAGGTGGATACATTCGTTGGTACATTCATATGCGATTTCATCCGCTTGACGGTCCCGTAAAATATATCTTAGGCATGAGTGGTCAAAGGCAGATAATTTATAATTTATAAATGCAGAAAATTTTTCATATCATCCACTCTCATTGGCCATGTCTTGTTAGCCATGTAACAAGATAAAGCGAATTGCTGTTATATAGATGCGAATTATTATTTTCTATCGTTTTGATGGTGATAATGACGCCTTCATAAAGGTTTCTCTAGTCGGAAGAATGGTATCTTCTTAGTATCTCTCGTAGGTATCATTATTTGGGTTGTGATTTCGTCGGTTGACCGTTTGGGATTAGAGTGGTCTGCGATATTTAAAATCCTCAACCGGCAATGAATTGATATAAATAGGTTGTTTATGAGTTTCTGGTATATAAGACGAAAAGGCTTTCATTTTATTTACATTGATCGGGTGTTCGATTCTCGCTGCAGTTGACGACATATTGTTTAGCATTATTTGCATTTCGTCATAACTATCAACAAAAGGGACTACAGCGTAATCAAGAGCTGTGATACTATACTGTGGATTATTTTACACATCTTGAGTGACACCAGTTCTTATTTCGAAAGAATTTGTCTATTTCCCCACATAAACAGAGTTGTATGCTATATGCTGATAAAATTCCTCTATGAGTCGAATGATGGGGTAAACACCATCATATTTTATCATCTCCAAAGTTCTTCTATGCGAATTGAATGGAAGGCAGGCCGAAAAATTGATGATGCAAGTGATGTTATGTTGCCGATATTTGAAACGATGCTCTTCTTAACTTGAATATCTGGTCGCAGAACCGGGTCCCCATATAAATATGGCATGGTTAGGACGCATCGTGCTACCTTGTGCTGCCATAAGTCAATTCAGTGGGAGGAAGCGAAAAATTTTCCAGCGATGTCTAGTAGGCTGATTCCTGGGTAATTATCGTGGCATGTCTTGTCACTTTTCTTGAGGATTGGAAAAAAAGAGTTACTTCGTACCAGTCATCTGGTATTACTTCATCCTTACCAAATCTTTCCAATAAAAATGTGGCTTATGTTATGGACCCACTTTCATTTTCTGATTCTTTTTCGGAATGGTTTCGTCCATTAGTCAGTGAGCCCATTTGGAAGTGATGAGTGAGTATTGTTGGAAAAGGATAAAAAAGAAATTTGCAAGTTGTGGACGGTTTTTAAAAATTAATATAATGAAATTAAGGTATAGGCGGAAAGAAATGGAATTATAGTGATATGAGGAAGAGAATTTCAGTCAGAAAATTTCTTCTTTAATTTGTATTTGCCAAATTTCTCATTTTTTAAAATCATAATTGCGTTTTAAATGAAAGCAGTTATTTTTTTTTAATGGCAAATGGTTGATACATTCATCATTTTTCGTCATTGGCCAGTTTCGTTGGCTATTTGAAATTTTTTGCCAGAGAGATATTTAACTATAGAAATATAGGAGGGCTAAATCACTATCACCATCCGGATCTATTTATTTTTCATTTTATTATTATTTTTTATTTATTATCGTATTTGGCTGAAATTGAATGAGATTTACTATGCAAAACTGCCTAAGAAATTTCAAATTTTATTCGTTTTATTCTTGTCTTAACATAAATGCAGCAATCTTCCCATCGACCAGAATCACTTACGCAATAAAGCAATATTGCGAGGTGGACATGGACAATATGCTGCATCGCCACCAGGGACACCGGAAGTTCCTGGCGTGCCAGGCTGCCCGTCTGGCCCAGGACTACCTGGACTACCACTTGGGCCAGGAAGTCCCATTGCTCCAGGCTGGCCGCGCCCGCCGGGCAGTCCACTTGCACCAGGTCTTCCTGGGTTTCCCATTGGTCCACGCGGTCCTTTTGGTCCAGGTAATGATCGCCCAGAGAATCCACTTTGTCCTGGCATTCCTGGTGGTCCCATAGGTCCTGGTGGTCCTGCAAATTAAAAATGATAATAGAGAGGGAATTCATTTAAAGAAGTGAAATGAAACAAAGAAACTATAAAACTAAATCTCTTATTTTACAGGTTGTTCATTTGTTCAAATTTCTTTCCAAATATTAAATAACGTACCAATTGGTCCAGGATCGCCAGGAAGTCCCGGTGGACCTGGCGGTCCTCTCGCACCTCCGCCAAATCCTTGTCTTCCTGATGTGCCAGGCAGTCCAGGGGGTCCTGGCGGTCCATCAGCACCTGGAGGTCCCGGTGGTCCTGCTGGGCATTTAATGCAACCTGTGGATCCTCCAGCCGTGGTTGATCCCCAAATTCCCCCTGGAATTCCCATTTCTCCAGGTGCACCGTCTTCTCCACGTGCACCTGGAACTCCCGGTGGTCCGGGTGGACCCGCTGGGCAGCTATTTGCTCGGGTCGCACAGTTGCAGCTTGCTTGCCGTTTTTCGCGGCCAAATAACGTTGCGAAGTTTTTTGTGCTCGGTGTGCCGAATACCAAATCTCCATTAGTGATCATAATCATTTCCTTCCAAGCGTCATTTGCCAATAATTTAAATTCGATCATTTCATCCATAATATCATTGTAAAGAGTATTCATATCCTGATAAAGAATTCCAACCATTATAAGTGAAGCGATAATGATTAGACCGCTTATCACTGATGAAGCTCCAATTATGTAATTGCTCGTCATCTCTAAATCAGTTTTCATTATTTGCGCTTATAAGGGAAATTTCAACCCGAAAATCCGAATAAAATTCGCGAAGAAAAATATTTGAAAACCAGCTCAACGGATCGACCTATCGTAAGCACGCACAGAGGCCAAAGAAGATGCAAAGTTACAATTTACAATATACAATTTGAAAATACAAAGAAGATGCTCTAATAGTAATTCAACGTAGCAGCTAATAATAGTAATAATTATTATTCCAATATTCCGCTTTAGGCTAAGCTTTAATTAATTCGGTCGGTTTCCCGGTTTTATAATAGAATCAGTTTAATGGAATCTGAATATTTTTATTAGACAGAAATTCTAAATATGCAAGATAATGCAACAAACTAATTCAATTACATTATATGGAAGTCAGAGAACCGCACAGGAAACGTTAGCAAAAAATGCGGCTTCTGCAGCTACTGGATTTACCAGATGTGGCGAACGTTGTTGGAAGAAGAATGGTATGTATAACAAGGAAATGAAATACCCGACGAGATACGCTCTTATTTATATTTGCCTAAAGAAAGCATTTTCACCGGTTTTTACAATATTTTGCAAATATTTTGTGATTAAACCTGTTGATAAATATAAATGTAAACAATCACAAAAGCATATAAAATATTTTGTCTAAATCGATTCAGTTAGAATGCGAAAAAGAAATTCGAAAGATTAATTTAAATTTTCAAATTTCGAAATGACAGAGTTCCTTTGAAAAAGTTTGGGAATTTTAAAACGAATTGCTTTAAATTGGAAATAATTTGAAATTTGAAATTAGTTTTGCCTGCTTTACCGACTTTTTTCTTATTTTAAATAAATAATTCAATTTTAATTAAATCCAATTAAATTGAAACTAAGTGTGGAAAAATTGAATGAAACAATTCCTCAAAAATTCTGATAGTTTTCCTTGTTCAACTATTAGCCAAGAAAGTGCCTTTTTCTGTATTATTTATTTTATTACCACCGAAGCACCACCACAGCTAACTTAATAGCACATATAAATCACTTTTATGCAAACCGAATCGCATAACATTGAATCATTCCATTCCAATAATCATAACTTAGACTCAGAATTCAAAAGTGAAATTCTATTTTATTTCTTTTGGGCAATAAGGTAATTAAATCGTATGCAACAGAATATGAACTTGTCGGCTACCATATTCGAAGAAAATTTTTCAAGCGCATTGATCGTGTGTCCTCGATTAGTTAAGTCGAATATTTAAAATCATGATTAAAAGTAGGAATCAAAATGAAAACCACTCGTGTTCAAATTCAGTGATTTAACTTCAAATTCCAAAGAAGCAAATTAAAGTTATTAATTCAACATAAAATAGAATCTTTTCTATAAACTTTTAAAATAAACAGAAACAGAATATGACAGAACGAAAAGGGCCCAGACCATGTTAAATTAATTTAACTCTGCTTGTAGTTAAATTAAAAAATTTGAAAAATTATAGACTATAAGAGTTTCAACTAAGAAAGGACCAAGGCAATAACCATTTCAACCAAATTTCAGATATTTTATATTGCCAAATGTTTTCCACTGAAAATTTGCACAAGCTTTTATGATCCAAAAACCGATATAAAAATTGAAAAACTTGATACACAATAATTTAAAATAAAATACAAAGAGAAAATTAGGAAATCAAAAGGAATATAAAATATAAACAAGAACCCGTAATTCATGAAAAAATTTATTTAAAAGAACTTGTAATAATCTAAATTTTTTAATGACTTATTCACCTTTGCCAGCTGTTATTAGTGCTTTCACGTCCGAGTGAGTTCAAATTTGGAGGCACAGGTGGTGGTCGAATACGAGTGAATTGATCTGACACGATAGGTTTAGATCCACCATAGGAAGATGAAGAAAAATGATGTGGAGGGAAAGATGATTCATCAGCATGCACAAAATCATGACGATCATTTGAATGAGCAAATGCAGAATTATCTTTATCACAGTAAAAAGATAACCTATGTGAAAATCTGGGATTGCTTCTATCATTCTGAGAGATGGTCATTTCTCTTGGAAATTCGAAACTGCTCCGATTGCTATATGAAGTGGATGGTTCAGATAGCATCCCAGAACTGATTCTATCACCATACAAATTCGACGATCTTTTATTTCCATACTCTTCTCCACAGTTTCGATTAATATGTGGATGTGGTTGACTGTCATAGCTTTCACGATCATCACGAATCCAACTTTGATTATTCACTGGAAAAAATCATAATCAAATGTCATGCAATCAGAAATCATTCTATCCGCAAAAAATTTAAACATAAATCTAACTGTTAGACCAGATCCTTTCACGATTTCTGTGATCGAATTGACCAAACCTTCCTCGACCATTATATCCACGATTATCAACATAACCGCGGCTGGAACGATTATTTCGATCATACTGTATCTGATTATTATACTGGCGATCAGCCTGCCTATGGAAAAAATTCTGCCCGCCATAAATATTATTCCTCCTAGAAAACAATTAAAATAACAAATATAAAAATAGGAATAAAAAAATAAAGATGATGTGGACAATTTTGTCATAAAAATATAATTAAGAAACATGAAAAATTGATGCAGACCAAATACTCGAAAAATTACCGGTCTAAATGCCATTTTTCAATCCTATAAGGAGATCTTGATCTACGACGATGCAAAACGGAAGACTGTCCTTGTCTGCGCTCCGTTTCACTGCAGCTTCTTTTAAATTGATAATCCAAGCTTTCAGACGGATGACGAGATGGATTATTACTGTGACTTTCGTTAGCATTACTAATTTTCTGCATTTCAGAACTTCTTTGGTTTAAATCATCACTGTCGTTTTTATAGCGATGGCGATGATGATGCTGACCAGAACTATGTCGGGATTCATGATGGCTTTTGTGATGCTGCTCTTTCTGAAATAAAAATTGATATTTTTATATAATAAATGTTTTATATAATCTTTATAATGGATATAATAAACATTTTTTATCACCTACATTCAAATTAATACGTAGAAATCAAAAAAAATATTCCTCGCTAATTCGTTATAAGGATTTGATAAAATAACAAAAATGAAAAATTTTATAAAAATCTCCTTGCACTCACATTTTTTTAAAGTTCAATTTACCTAAAATACGGAAGAACTTTTTTTTTCACTGAAATTGATGACCTTGCGACGTCCTACATTATTTTAATCCAGCATTAAATCAAGATGATATGAAACAGGGATGGAGAGAACAAATTGTAAGATGATGGGAGAAAAAAGCATAGAGGAAAGTGAAAAGGTCGAAAAGAAAAAAAGGAAGAGAAATCAACACTTGAATACCAGCCATAAGATGCCTAGCTACCAATCAGAATATAAAATGTTCATTACATTCGGAAAATCAGAGATAAAAAAATAAGAAACTGACATCGGCACGACATTGTTTTGCTGCGTTCCGATAGCAACTAAACAATTGATTGGCGCTGTGATCAAAAATTGAAGAATTGTCGAAAAGAGCAAGGAAGATCCATAGGCGAGAGTTCCAAGCTTCTAATTCAGAGTCGGTATCGCTATATGAAAGCAATAATTTTCAAAAATCACGGCTCATAATTATAATAAGATGAAATAAAATCATAACTGGAAAAGAAGCATGATGGAGTGAATACCCAGAAAATTTTTTTAGAAGTCCTTCAATATGATGACCAATCTTCAACAAACATTTAACAGAGTCAGTACTATCCCTTTGTGACAAAAATAGACATTTCATTTTTTCACGCACTGGCCGCATCATTTGTATGCACTAAATAAACAAACAAAAACATAAGTACTTTCTTAAAATATAATTATTATAAATAAAATAAAAGGTTATAGGGAAGCCAAAAATCACCTCTTTGAATATTTTGCCGCTTCGTACCTTCAATTCACCTTCATATTTCTCATTTATTTGCAATTTTTCAAATCGTGCTTTGATATCCTTTTCATCTTTCTAAAAGATTCCAAATACTTGCTTAAATGAAATTTAAAGAACGAAATTGACCAAAAAATTAAATACCATATGTCCTTTAGATTCAGGTGGCCTTAATTTCATCAATTTTTGACTGTGAACTTTTCTTCCCAATTTTTCCTTAAATGACCAAAAAAATTTGATGCAAACATAAAATGTAACTATAATTTTAAAAAAAATTAAATAAAATTAGAAAACAGAAAATATCAAAAAATTAAACCTTTTTAGATCGTAATTTATTATGTAGCTTATTTTTCTTTAATTGCAATTTTGCAAGACCAGCTAAATGCTTAAGCAGATATTCTGCTCGAGCTTGCAAATGTTTTGCTTGAGGCTTTTTGCTTTTGTCTTTAAGCAATACCTGAAACTGATAAACAGTTGATGAACTAATAAACAACGGAACCAAAATTTAAAAAAAGAAGGATAAATTTCTATGAGAAACAAACGAAAAATAGAAAAGAAAAAGGTATAGAAAAAAAAGAATATCCAATAAAATAATTGCACCTTCTCAGCAAAGCTATACTCTGGATCCAACTTTATTGCCTCCCAACTACCCATACCGTACCGATAAATACCACGCAGTAATGCGACGTCATCATCCATTCCCCATTCAACGCTCCATCCCTTTGGTGGTTTCATATTAAACGGCAATTCCAAGGAATTCAAATCATTCGTCGACACGACCAAATCACTTAGTGGCTTCAAATCTGCGTGCATTTTAAGTATTGGCCTGACATATATATCGGTTGTTCCCAATTTAAACACTGCCCCACGATCCTAAAAAATACCATTATACTAAAATATTAAACAATATTGAAGCATTATAACATGCCGAAAAGAGTTACGAATGAGAAATCATTTAATATCTAATATTTAATAACTATTTAACATTAATATAATACCTGTTTTCGCTTTCCTTCTTCGGCCTGCTTTTTCTCAATAGTTTTGCTCTGTTTTTCATATTGTTGTTGAGCATTAATACATCCTTCTAAAAGCTCCTTACCCAATTGGATTAAATCATCATTACCATGCTCTTCCAATTCCGCATCTTGAGCAATTGCTTCCAGCCTAAAAATAAAATTGACTTAATGCTATATCGAGAAATACATTGAAGACGATAAATTAAGCAATAACTTTTTTTTTAACAAACCTTGACAAAGGATTGGCAAATTTTCGAAAACTTTTCGCAAATTTTCGGATTTCAGTCTCATTAAAACCATAAAATAATTTTTGTTTGCTTCTCCTCGGCCTATCTTCATCTGAATCTTCATTTTCACTGTCACGAAATTCGTCCTTTTTCCCTTTTTTCAAAGTTTCATCACCACTATTGTCAAGACCAATATTAACCTATATATGAATAAAATATTTTGCCATAAAAGGAACATAAAAAAAAAGAGAAAAATTCTTAGTACTAGTAAGATCACTCATCAGATCTTATCAGCCAATCAACATTGATTCAATATATTTCAACATATCAGCGCCAAATTTTTCATCATTTAAGCGATCATACAAAATTGAATAAATGAAATTGAATAAATGAAAACCAAATTTCATGCAAATAACCAGTAACAATATCTACTCTACAGAGTATCAAAATTAAATATCAGTACCAAATACCAAAACTGAAATTTTGCATGATAATTAAATACTTTGGCTCGATTTCGCCGTTCAGCAAGTTGAAATTCAGCTTGCAGACGTTCTTCTTCAGCAAGCTTTTCTCGTGCTTCTAACGGTATAATTTCGTCCCAATTTTTTGAAACATTGTTGGCCCTAGATATTTGAACGTCCGTTTCTTCATTGAATGTGAAATTCGAAAATTTGAAAGAATTCAACAAATCACTAAGGGCGCTCTGAAAAATATTTTTTATAAGAAAAAAGAGAATAAAAATATATCGAATATAATGAATAAAGTGCATTATACCAATAATTTGAAAAATAAATTAAGAAAAATATCGCTTGGCATTTTCGGATTAAAACATACATGATTTTCACATTCGTTAGTTTCCGCTCGTTCGAGTATATCATCAATATCAACTTCGAGATCTTGTTCTTCATCATCTTTACAGCTGAATATCTTCTGAGCACTGAATTTCAAAATTTCATTCGCTTCATGCTTGTCAAATGGTAATGCTCCAGCACTAGGCTTATTTTTTGAAACTACAGTTCGACCCGATTTATCCATTAACTAAAAAAGCACAATATAAAATGAAAAAAAAAAGTGAATGAAATAAAAAATTTCTCATAATGAACATAGCGCTAAAATGCGAAATTTCAGCTGGGAACTTTCAGCAGTATAAAAAAAAATTAAACAGAAAACATCTTCTATACAGCTGAATGAACAATATTTACTTGTATAACTAAATGATCCAATACAAGTTTCGCCTTTGCTCTTTCAACGATTCGTTCTTCTATCGAAGCTTTAGTGATAAGACGATAAATATTCACCTAAAATAAATAAAACAAAGTGAAAATATATTTTAATCTTATTATTTTAATCAAACATCATCCATCCATTTTTATTTTTTAATCAAATATCCATTAAATTTTCACAAATGACACTAACCTGCTTAGTTTGTCCGATTCGATGGGCACGACTCATTGCTTGAAGATCATTCTGGGGGTTCCAATCAGAATCAAAGATAATCACAGTATCAGCAGTAGCCAAATTAATACCAAGCCCACCTGCACGAGTAGATAATAAAAAGCAAAAATCCATAGAGCCTTCAGCATTGAAATGATCTAATGCTGCCTTCCTCAATTCTGAACGCATTGATCCGTCCAACCGCTAAAAAATGAAATGGTTTGAATAATCAGTGAAAAGAATTTTGATAGTTTTATAAATAAAATTTGGACAAAAAATTTAAAGATTGTAAACTTAATAATTAGGTTAATGAGGTAAATATTTGTGAAAATGATGAGTCATGCCAAAAAAACCTCGTTTTCTTAACTTTTTCAAAAAAAAGTTTTATATTGAAGCAATCAAAAGAAAAACCTGAGAAGGGAAACGCCTAAGTTGTAAGTATTCTTGCAATATATCCAACATCATAACCATCTGCGAAAAAATAAGAACGCGATGCCTCTTTTCTTTAAGTCGGCATAATAATTTGTCCAACAAAATTAATTTTCCGGATGATTTTAATATTTGCTAAATAATTTTATGGAAAAGAAAAGAATAAATAAGCGATAAAATATAATTCATAAAATGTGGAAAATTACTCGTTAATACAATGACAATACAAGCGACCTATAAATGATCACCTTGAGACGAGCTTCGGGCGTAATTTCACATTGAACATAAGGTCTAACAAGTGAAGCATGATTGCAGCACTTTTTCAGCTCCATCATAATATTTGAAAAACCAATTCTCGAGCCTTTAACTCCTTTCGTCAATTCTTCATAATTTCTGGTCAATATATATTTATAATACTCTTTTTGTTGTGAGGTCATATCGACACGCAAAATCTGTTCTACCTAAATATTGAAAAAAATAGAAATCTGAGGAGACTTAATGATAGAACAATGGGAGAATAAAATAATTAATTGCCATTTTCTAAAGATTTTTAGGTTTTTCAAAAATATGCAGGAAATTATGAATAAATTTAATATTAAAAATTAACTTTAAAAATACCTTGGCTGGCAATGACTTCTCGACTTCTTTTTTCGTTCTTCGAAAAACAAATTGCTTAATATGAGAACGAAGCTTCTCACAGATATCTCTTTCAGTCACAGGATAATCCTTTTCGAAATCTTCCCATGAATGAAACCTAAAACAATGAAAAAAATTTGTAAAATGGCAAATTTTGGTAATTTAATAATTTATTACTCATATTTAATGAAAGAAAAATATTTACGCATACTTCTGAGGCATAATAAAATGGAGCAGAGCCCATAATTCTTTCAAGGAGTTTTGAAGGGGTGTGCCAGTGATAAGAAGGCGATGATTCGTTGAAAATCTATGAAGACATGAATACATTATCGAATCATTATTTTTTAAACGATGAGCTTCATCGGCTATTAATACTGCCCAATCGAAACTGCCGAGGAAAGCCTAAAATTACTTGTTTAATGTGAACTGTTATCAAGAAAAAATTCAGAATCATCAGTTACAATCAAAAATATTATAATGAAATTAAATACTTTGTCTCGAATTAAGATTTCATAAGTCGTTATCAAGACATGAATTTTAAGACGCTTTGTGCCCTGCACAAATATTTCGTATTGACGAATCTTAAAAAAATTCAATTAAAAATCGATGAAATCAGACCAATTTAATTAATTATTTATGTAGTATGTAGATATATAAAATTTCGAATGAAATAATGAGCAAAAAAACCATTTTTTAGCACAATATAATATTTTACCAGTTCAATGAAATTATATTTGACAGAGAAAAAATACCACGTCTCGACTATTGGCATCACCAATATATGAAACTACATTGAGTACACTAGCCCAAGTTTCAAACTCTTGTAACCAAGCAGCCATTGTACTTAACTGTACCACGACAAGGAACGGACCATAAACTCGATATTTATGATAAAGTGTGGAGAGGAAACCAATACTTTGAATAGTTTTGCCTAGTCCCATTTCATCAGCCAAGATACAACCATTTCGTCTGCAACAATTGGCTAACAAAATTAGAAATTTGAATGAGAAAGTAAAAAACTGAAAAAACTGAAATATTGAAATAAAATAAAAAGAGAAAAAATCAAACTAATTAACTGGTAAAAGCTATGTAAAAAATTCCGGAACAGTTTGGACATTAGAATTTCTTTCAGTTTTCTTTTTAATATTGTTCTTTTTATTTATGTTTAATGTTACTGCTACTAAAACAAATGCATTTCTATCGCTCTGCTCGATCTTCATAATGAATAAGTATAAAAGTAACGAACAAATAAAAAAGAATATTACATAGTCCAAGCTTGCACCATAAAATTTATGCCTTCTAATTGATAGTCACGAACTTGATCTGTCTGGCCATCGCGATAAAGGAATTCAGGTATTTCTGACATATACTGGAAATTTGGCCTTTCAATGAGTGCCTAAAAAATTTTTACGTACTTATATTAATGAGTGTATGGGTGACCATATCTTTTTCTCCCATTACAATCAACATTACATAAAGAAACATCATTAAATTAATTAGTCGCTACCTTGTGATATGATATTTAAAGAGCAATATAGAGCATATAGAGCATTATATAGAGCATTACATTTACAGATTTATAGAGCATTATTATTATTACTATTTATTTTATAGAGGATTACATTTACTAATTTAAGTCTAACTATATTGTATCATTATACAGAATAATGAAAAATCCTAAAAGTAAGAAAGAAAATCTCGCCACTTATTTAGTTGGCCTGCGAAATATGGTGTGAAAAGTGAAGTGAACCATAGACTGATGCGATTGATAGGAAGATTTGGAAATAAAAACGGTGAAAAAAGAAGTAATTTCACGTATGGCATCCGATCGGGAGACTTACCTATCGGCTAATCAGCCGAACCAGTATGAGTTACCAAAAAAAGAACAATTCTGCTATAGCCTAACCACCTCGCTCGCCTTATCACCGTTATTCTTCCTTAATATTCCAAGTACTCCTCCAATTCCCCTTATACTCCTTTAATACATCCAGCCGTCAATATATCACTCTCTGCGATTTGCGATAACTTATAGATGTGGAAAAAACAAAATTGTGAGGATTAAAGGAAAGTCAAAAAAACATAATGAGTAATCTTAAAGAGACAAGTAAACCAGAGGGAAAAATGAAAAGATGGGAATTCAGATGAAGCTAGTACTGGTCCACATAAAAGCAAAATAGTTCCCTAATGTTTTGAGGGCGTTGGACGTACTTAAAGCGATTTGAGGACGTTTTTTAGAAAATTTGAAATTGGTGATAACAGGCTCAACATGAAGCGGGATGCGAGATTTTGCGGCTATAGTTTTGTTTTTTCACTATCCAACTAGTTCTCTCACAATATATAAAACAATATAAATATAAAACAATAGTCTATATATTAATGGGTAACAAGTGGGATTTTGCAGTGCACTAGAGGTCATATTTAAAAAATATTGAGCTCAAGCACCAGCGGAATTTAATGGGACGTTAAAGGGAATTAAAGATGTTTTTGAGATTTAGAATGTTATATCGGGTTGAGAGAGAGTTGCTGGAAAGGAACGAAGATTGTATAATATTACATGGCTTAACTTGCTTATCTTCCAAAAAAAATAACCAGAGGTGGGCAGGAAGGAAAAGAGGCCTTCTCATTGTTTTCTGTGGCCGCCAAGTATGGCGCCAGATAAGAGAATCAAGTCCTTTGCTTAGCAGAATGGGCTTTTTACCAACTATAGGTTTACAGCATAACAGATGATATCTAATTATATGGAGCTCGGCAGACAATCAATATTCAAATGGAACTAACTATATTTTGCTCAACTGATGAAAGTGTTTCGCAGAACGCTGAGGCGAAGCATTAATCAAACCATGCCAAGGTTAAAGCCAAGATCCAAATGAAACTGAAACGCGGATAACCCAAAATCTTTTGACTATCTCATGTTTAAAAAAACATGCGGTGGCAGTTAGCGCATTTCATATTGAGATATTAAAGACATTTTAAAAATATTAACACCCTCTAAACATCCAAAAAGTGCTGGTTTCACTTGAAGTCATTGAAGTTCTCTCTCCAGAAATCATCTAGATTCACTCTAGGACACACGATTATACTGGATTTGAAAGGGTCCAGCTGTCTGACTACACTAGAGTCTTCTTCTTCTTCTTACGGCTCTCACCATTACTGGTTAGGCTGACTCCAACGGCTAGAAGGTTAAGACGCTTCCAAGCGACGCGGTCTGATGATATCGTCGACAGTAATGGAAGCCATTCTTTTTTCCATCACCTAAGTCCATATATTGCTGGTCCACCTATATGTTCAAAATCTTTTCTCACCGTATCAGTCCAAGTCTTGATTGGCCCACCTCGCTTTTGATGCCAACCATCACAAGATTTAGCAAATAACGAAATAACTCAACTCCTGTGGTGGGCGACGGAAAATGTGACCAGCAAAGGCTGTGCACTGTGATAACATTATTTATGCAAGTGGTATTTGAACGAAGGTGAATGCGATCTTGTGATATCCGCTCGACGGATCCGTAATATGTACCTTAGAAAAGAGTGGTCAAAGGCAAATAACTTTTTAATATCCTCCACTCTCATTGGCCATGTCTCAGAACCATATAGCAAGATCGAACGAGATCACGGCTATATAGATGCGAATAGATTCGTTTTTATGGTGATTTCATGACAACTCCATAAAAGTTTCGTCAACCAAAAGAACGGGAGTATTTCTAACTGCCGTGATCCGGATTGTAATATCATCTTTTGCCTGGCCATCTGGTATTAGAGTGGATCCAAGGTATTTAAAATCGAGTACTTCCTCAACAGGCAATGAATTTACAAAAAGAGATATTTTATCATCTTCTTGTCTTATTCCAGCCGACGGTGCGAGTTACTAGAAGAAAAAGAAGTTAAGGACTATACAATGAAGCTTAGAATCTGGTGCAAAGGAGTTTGAAGTAACGTTACTGATGCATGAAAAAAAAAAGCTCGATGGAATGTTAAGAGAACTCAACGGAGTTTCAAGGAAGTTGTTAGGGACAGAAGCAATCATTTGGTATCCAAGAGATTACTATGATAGATTAGGATAAAAAAAGGTCGTTAGCAATATAAATTAAAACTTAAAGTTAGAACAATTTATCTTATCTGAACAAAAATTCGTGAAATCAATATTTATTATGCAATCACAAACTCTAAACATACCTTAGAATGTTTGTCAGGTAAATTTTCATTATTCAGCCTTAAATTATATGCCTCAATCTTATTATGAAATCGGTGTGATATAAGATGTTCTGCTTCCCAAGTGCTTTCAGCATAAGGTAGTCCTAGCCACTTCACATAATATTCAATGCCATTTTCATCGTTTTTTTCGCGTGAAATTTGGTGAGCAATTATCCGTTCAACAAGCTGAGGAAAATTTTCGATAATCATTTAAAAAACTATGCGAAAAAAAAGAATTAATTAAAAAATAAATTTAAATTACTTTTTAGGTATTAGAGAGGAGCCAAGGTATTTAAAATCGGGTATTTCCTCAACCGGCAATGAATTTACAAAAAGAGGCATTTTATCAGCTTCTTGTCTTATTTCAGCCGACAATGATGCAAGTCCTTTGTCCTTTTCGTTCCAAAGGCATAATGATAATCTTATTGTAGTTTTTAAGCAAAAATTTTGGAACCAATACAAACGAATTTTCATAATGGTTGAAAAAATGGCACCTTATGTTTTTCATGAAGTTGATTGTCCATTTCCTGCGCGCACAAAAGGAATTCAATATCGTCCTTTTCTGCAGTTTTTTTTCTAAAGTGGAAATAGAAATTTATTAAAACTTATTAAAACGAATTTAACACAAATAATAAACAAAATAGAAAAACCTTAAAAAATTAAAATGGAAAAGAAATGGAAATGAACAACTTAAGTATATATCATATTTATACTTATTTCAAGAAAATATAAATCAAAAAATAATTACATTTTCTAAAGTTTAAAGAAAATGGAGCAAAAATTACATTTCTTCAAATTCTAGTAATCGTCTTTTATAATTATCAATTTTTTTCATTCCTTTAACTTTTGCAGCAATTAAGCTTTCTTCGGATTCCCATGTATTATGTATATGTGACCATCCTACCCATTTGATGAGGAAATGTTGTTCAAGCATCTGAGATGAGCCATCTGCAAGAAGTCGTATAATTATAAAAGCATGAATGAAAACTCTCAGATCTTACCTTTAGGAACATTTGGATCGCCTTTTTCTTCAACATTATAACACGTCGTGGCCGAACCAGTAGCTCCATGATAACCAATGCGATGGTTAATAACTTTCTCAATTGTCTCTGGCTCAGGAATATTTGGGTCAGTCTCATATTCATACTTCCATACGGCAACATCATCTGCATCAATCTATAACAAGGACATTTTAAGATTTTCATTAGGACAGATAAAGAATGTCCACTGACGCGACGTAATCATTAGTGATGAATTATAGATATCATGGATTATATAAGTTTACATCCTCATCTGAGCTTGGTTCCTGATAATTGATGCTGCCCTTCGACTTGCTTTTTGTAAACCTCTTTGGCCGAATGCTAACATCGGAATTGTCATCAGAAGACCATGTTTCACCAAATTTGCACTTTTTACCGGCCTGATGGCGACTGATATAATCGAATTCTGATAAATCGCTATTTGATTCAAATTCTCCTTTCCTGAAACAAAAAAATTAATTATTTAAAATCAGAGAATAACTAACAGAAATAAAAATTAATAAACTTAAAAAAAACCAACTTTTGCTTTTTCCGACGAGTGTAATTCATCTCAGTTCTGATAACAGGTGCGCGTTTTCGATTAGAACGACGATATGCATTTTGCATTTCCAGTTGCTTAAAAATAAAAATGGGTGAAAATATTAAAAAAACAATATACAACATAATTCCCAAACAAAAAAATAATATTAAATTTGGTGGAAAGATAAACGAGTGATTCAATTCAAAAAAAATAAAATGAGGAAAACAACGATTTTCTAATATTTCCTCAGTGAAGAATTAGAATTTTTAAAATTCGAATAAAATTATTTTTAAAACGAAATTTTTCAGCAAAATATTTACTTTATGCGAACTTTTTTTAATGTTTTAGATCTTAAATTTTCAAAAATCCATATATTTTATTACCAAACGTTCATCGTCCGTGAATTTTAATCCACGTTGTGGCTGCTTGTTTACCGTTTTCGTTTCGCCTTCAGCAGTCAGCGATCCATTTCCTTCATTTTCCTCTTCTTCAACCTCATCATCAACATCATCATCACTTTCCTTATCTAAAATAAAATTTTATAACATACATTATAAACCTTATAATAATCATACTTTAACAATTGTCTGCGAACAATCACTGGCACTTGGATTCTACAGTAAGAACAAAATTCAAAAAAGGATTACCAGTAAAAAGCGATCCAGAGTACGAACTCGATTGACTACTTGTAGTCGATCTGCTCGCAGATCTTTCTCCACTTTCTTCATCTATTTTAGAAATAAATTTTGAACTTAAATTTTAAAAAAATAGAAATCCAGCCGTTAATTCGACTAAAATTTAGAAGATTAATTAAAGGGAAATTCCAGTTTGTTTAAATTTAAAGAATGGAAACGAATAAAAATTAACCACGTGGATGAAAAAAAAGTGTTTTAATCAATTCTTCTTCATTAATGCAAAATCTTTTTGACACGAAGTGATCTAAATTTTACCTGAATTTTGTTCATGTTGACTTTCATCACCATTCGAACTTGCTGAACTTGATTTTGAACTTCGCACGGACATTTATTTTAAATTTTCGCACCAGATTTTAATAAATTTTTAATTCTTTAAAGATTCAAATTTAATTCATTGAATTCAAAAATAGTTGAACTAATGACGTTCCTTTCACCTACAGAAATGAAGTAAGCTGTGGGCCAATTGTTTCGACATCCAGGAAAATATATAAAAGTCGCCGATCCCTCGGTTATGTGGACAGTACTGCAGTGGATGATAAATTTCACCTCTTCTCAACCTGTCCTTTTTAGCTTTTCCTTTACTCTCTCAACTATATCTACTATATCTACTGCTTTACAATTTTTCAGACCAAAAATTAAATCATTAGTTTAAATCAAAGCTGTTCGTGAAATTATCACCTCGAAATGGACTTACAAGCATTTACTAACTTCCTGCATTCAATAGAAAGATGTGCTTCTCTTCACATAACCGAAACTTTATAAAAGTAAAAAAGCGAGTCGTTTTCGAAATTCGAAATCAATAGGGAAGCATTTGCTACACCTCAGACTCCGACCTCTCATGAAAATTTCGAAAATTTTGTGTGCAACGAGAATAATTTATTTGGTAGCCTAGTCAAGCGGTGAGCATTGTGGATTCGACTCCTCTCCGCTCACTGATGAAAATTCGTTTTCATCGAGAGAAATTATGGCAATGCTAAACCGACTACCGCGTCGTTAAATAGAAAGGTATGGAAAATCAGCAAATCATAAATTCATGTAAAATTTAAAATTCCACCACGAATTTTATCATTTTTTTCTCCATCGTTGATTTGTTCAAGTTTATGAAAACATTTTAATTTATTATAAATTCCACTTAAACGTGTATTTTATTCAAATTCCACGTCGAATTCTCCAAGAATAACGAGAGAAAAATTCATTGAGAAATTTTTTAAAAAACTCCCTCAACAACCAAAATTATAAAGTTGCTACTTTTCAACTTTATTCTAAATGGATTATTGGATCATTTTGGAACTATGCCAAATCTTCTTGAATTTTCACGAGTCCCACGGATCCAATGTAGTAAAATTATGAAGAGTGAGGGGTTGTCCACTGATTAGATTAAATGAGAATGGAGACTAATGAATTCATATAAGAGCAGAGGATAATCTCCAAGAAAGTGGCAAACTACGATGAAATTAGATGTAAAAGAAAGAAAATCCAGTTATAATGAAAAATGCAAATTTCCTCGTAAAAACCGGACTGTTAAATCAAATCGCTAATAACTTTAAATTCTCAAAACTAAAATTTTTTCAAGTACAAAATAGTCGACGCAAAAACAATTGAAAAAATGGAATTTAACAATACAAATATAAATAAATCGATAAATTAATTCCATCAAATTTATTTTATAAAAACATTTTTGAAAAGAACTTTTCCTACTTTTTAAAAATAAGTTCCTTGTTATTCAGTAACTACTTTAATAATTTTTCGCAGGAATTCTCACCAAATAAAATTCAAACAAAACTTTAATTCCGAAATATTTGCCAGCAATAAATAAAATCTCTTCAGTCTTCCTTCAGTCTTTTATGATCCTCTCAAATCTCCATTAAAACATTAAAGATTTACGGATAAACTTCTGGAACACCTCTATTGCAAGAGACCATCACCATTTAGCCTCTAAAAGAAGAAACAAAAACAAATACCAAATTTACTCGAAGGCCAAGCAAAAATGAACGAGAATTAGTTGGGGAAAACGCACCGCTCAGCGCACGCACTCTTCCTTACATAAGATATTCCCTTCAAATCGTCACAACATTTATATGAATTTTTCCAAAGTTTTTTCTCCAATACTGTCCAACTTGTTCAATGAATATTTCATTCAATTTTTTCGATAAATTAAATTTTTTTTATTACGCATTTAATCATTTAAATCCAAATGTTTTTATTAGCCAATAAATATAGATGATACAAAAAAAATAATTATATAAAAATAGAATTAGACATAAACAAACAACAATGAAAAAATGGAATTAACCAAAAAGGCACTTCAAAATAAAAATATGGATCGATCGTAAATTTGATAACTTTTAACCTGGAAACTTTTTGCTTCTTAATATTTTAAAATCTACAGTTCGCAGAATTTATCCTTTTGCATTAATAAATGATTATATAAAAGCCACCCCTATATTTAACTATAAAAATGCCGAATAAATGAAATATAAAATAAAAAATGATCAAAAGATTTTTGAAAAAAAAACAAATCATGATGATGCTTTTCAACGACAACAAATGAAACAACGTCGTTGTTAAGATTTACATAAAAAATAAGATGAAATACATGGGCAAATAAACGAATGCATTCATCTTCTAGCCAATTAACCGCCATAGTACCAATAAATTACTAAAGATAACAAGAAATTTCCCCCTATAACTAAAAAAAAGACAATACCATAGGCCTCTAATGAAGCCACAAAAATTTCCAAATTGCATAAAAGATAAAAATTTTGAAGTGGACATTGCAAAAATGAAAAATAGAACTGTATATTGATTAATAATATCGAAAAAAAGAAGAAAACCGAATTATCTACTTCATTAGTAGCACAATCATGAAGAAATATCAGAACTAACAATTTAAAGTTCTTCCTTTTTCCTCTTCTTGCCATCTTTTCCATATCCTTTCAGGCCATCTGTCGAGTGTTCCGCGATAAATTTTACAAAATCGTTCAATTCACGCCCACCGGTATAAGGCATTGGCTTATCCTTATTGTTCTTTGGAACCCAATAAATTGTTGGAAACCTGAAAATCCAATTTATTTAATGAGTGAATGCTATACAAAATACATAAAATATTGTTATTTTAATACAGGTCATGACCCATAAAAAATAAAATGGTTATCAAACTGAAAAGACCCAAAAATACCCTTGATGCTGATTAAAAACACTCGAATGGCTGTAAATTTCATAAACTCAAATAACGTCCCCATCAACCTAATTTGCAGTATATTCAAATAATTCAATTAACAATTATCCATAATCGAAATCGTACACATTATTTCATCAGATGTCCTTACATTCGAAATGCACGGAATGTTCAAACTTAAAGGAAGATGAAAAGTCAAAAATAGAAGTTTTTTTCCACCAAATGATTCCTAAAATGCACCAGATTTATCGTTTAAAATTTTTTTGCCAATTTTGATAAAGGAAAAGGCATTAAAAAACACCAAATTCGTAAAATTTTTATACTTCCTTTGAAAAATAACACAATATTTTAAAGAAAAGAATTGTAGAATTAAGTTGAAATATAAAGAAGTGTTGCACCATAAACAAGAGTTATCCGAAATAAAAATAGCAATATATAGATTTAACAAAAATTTAACAAATTTAATTAATTAATGAATTTATCAAAAAATTTCAAGGAAACTTTATCCATAATTACTCCTTGAATCATAATTCGATTTATTAAATTATACGCTCTTAGCGTAAAATTCCCTGTAATTAAATAAAACTCATGGTTCCTCTTGTTTGAAACTCTTGTTTATGGTGCAATTTATGTTTCTTCAGGATAAACCAAAAATCGCTTGTTTTATTCTAAATAAATCCTTTTTTATTCTAAATAAATCTTTGAAGAATACCAAAAATTTTTTGCTGTGATGCTCAATATCTTCAGAGTTCAAATAGGCAAGGAATATTCAAAAAATGGAGAAGTGTTGTTAAAAGCTTTTTTGGAGAACTAATTGGTGGAGTAGTGTCATGATGGTACAATTTATTTTTTGAAATCTTCAGTCTCCAACTGCGAACCTTCCAATTTTAATGAAAAGGATAAGCAAAGATCAGGTAACCCTGGTAGAAAGAAAGTTAAGAAAGAAATTAAGAAAAAAAAAATTCAAAGAAAGTTAAGAAAGTCAAATTTAAAAATTCGGAATTCCAACAAAGAGTGATCCCATGAAGGTTGAATTTAAAATTCAATTTGCTAAAGAAAGAAAATATACCCTGAATCTCACTGAAGTCTGATATTGTCCTTTCAAGGCCTTCAGATATTAAATTCAAAAAATTGTAAGCTATTTTTTTTATAAAAAGCATCAAAGATGTCTCGATTATTCGAGAAGATCTAAGTCATTTTAACTTAAAATGCGAACTAAAAGGCGAACTAAACTTCCGAAAACATACATAATAAAATAAAGTATACATATAAAAAAATAACAAATACCTAAATATACAAAAAAATATATGAAAATAAAGGCAAAATTGCATGGACTGCATTATGGACTTCATAGTTGAATGCTAATTCCTACCAGTGGTGGGAAAAAGATAAAAAATCAGTACTAAGGCATCGATTATAGCAACACAGGAGCAAGCATTAAGCATCAGATCCATTGAAACATACCACACTGAACGATACCCCAAATGCGGATTGTGCAAAAAGGCACCAGAAACGGTCCCATACAGTGGCAGAATGTAAAATAAAAACAGGAACAAGATACATTGAAAGGAATAAATAAGTAGTTGCCATCATCTGCAGAAACATCTGCTCGGTATATGGCTTATATTTTCCCAAGACTAAATAAGAGATTCATCAAAAAACCATAGAGAATGATATGGCGAAGATCGTGTGGGACTTGCTCATCCAAACAAGAAAACAGGTACTAGCCAATCAGCCACACATTGTGGTAATAGACAAGAAGTCGGGAAGAAAAAATATAAGAAGTTAGAGAAATATGAATAGGTGAGAGAAGATCAAGAAAAGATGTGGAAAGATAATTGGAGCACTTGGAACGTAGCTCCTAAAAGGTGGCATCAGCAAATTCCGGGAAAATATCAGAGATCTCTATCTATAACAGCGTATTACCAGGAACAGCTAAAATAGCTGCGCAGAACTCTCAGGTCCCTGGTAGAAGAGCAGAGGTCGAAGATGATTATCGATTATCATCGCCCTCAGGGAATACAATTTTTTTAAAATAACCTTAAAATAAATAACCCACAATAACCTTAAGCACAATTATATTTTAATCAAAAATAATAGCTTCAAAAGTATCAATTAAAATTCAAAATGAAATAGGTAGAAATAGTTTAAACATAAAAATTCATCCAACTTTCGGTAAATTTACCACAGAAATAAAGAAAAAGCTGCATAGAAGCATTCTATAGAAGCATTTGGTGCAATATAGAATTTTCCATTAAAAATGGAAACATGCCGAATGAAATTTTTTCCACAGCTACCCAAAAATACACCTAATTGGTGGAAATACCAAATCAGAAAACAAGCATTATATATTGCACCAAATGCTTCGAAACAGGCCATTAACAGTGGCTAGTTTCTATACTAATAAAATGGTACTTAACATTATTAAATTCGATAAAATTCTTAACACATATGGTTTATAGAATTGCAAATTGATGAATTTCATCATCTTGCGAGATCAGATTCGCAAAATAAAAATCAGCCCAATTAAGTCTGAAATAATAAAACAATAAAAAAATAAATCGGACCAACCCTTGAACTTCGAAAGGTGGAGGTACATCATTTGCCGTAGCATCCATTTTTGCTATCATAATATTTTCCCTTGCTAATTTTTTCCCAAGTTCATCATAAATAGGAGCCAATTTTTTACAATGACCACACCATGGTGCATAGAACTCAAGTAAAATGTCTTGATCCGATTCCATAACCATTTTCTTGAAACTACGACCCACAATAACCTTAAGCACAATTATATTTTAATCAAAAATAATAGCTTCAAAAGTATCAATTAAAATTCAAAATGAAATAGGTAGAAATAGTTTAAACTATTTTTTTTTGTGTTAATTATCTGAGCTATCATTACCTTTACATCGCCTTGGGTATCTGGTTCAGGTTCGCTCTTCAAGTATGGTTTGAGCTTTCCTTTAACTAGGTCCTCGACGAAATTCTTGAGATTTTCCACGCTGTAAAAATATTTAGATGATTGAATTCCTTTCACTAAATGCGCGATAAAACTAAGCTGAATCTTATAACGATTACATAAAATAAATAAAAGCTATAGTATAAATACCTAAACTCAGTATCCATGAAGAATTTGCCATCTTTCGTCTGAGCAGCAACAATTGGTTTATCTGATGTCGAGCGATCACCTAAACCATATTCTTGCACTTCCTAAACATGAAAATTTTATATTTTACAAAAAAATAAAAATTCCTTCCTTGAATGAAAAAATGTATTCTTCCTTTCTAGTAGTGGCTTCAAAATCAAAAAAAAAAATGATATGAATTTATCTGACATGGGAAAATTCTTCTTTACTGCTGATGGCGAAATGAACTTTACGTTTATAATCTTGAGCAACTTTGGCCACACGATTACGCCAATAATTTGAACCTTAAAAAACAATCATTTCAACATTTAAAGGGAAAAGAGGAAGAAAAAAATAATTTGGAAGAGAAAACCTTTTGGGTTGAGCGCAAAGTCTATATTCCAGTAGACAACCACCAGGGGTTTTTTTGTAAATTGAAATAGATTACCAATAGTTCTGACACCAACTAGACCTACCCTAAATACAGTTACATTTATTTAAAATTTAATCGAATTATAAAATAAAAAATAAAAATTTGTAATTAAAAATTGGAATAAGTATAAAATGAAAAACCTGAGAAAAAAATTCATTTCAATCTAGAAAAAATCGAACATTTATCACAAAACCCTAAAAAAACTTACGTATCGTAAGTCAAGAATTCCTTTATTTTATCGGTATCATAATTTCCATCATATTTTATTTCATTAGTGTCGAATTTGTTATGAAGCTTCTTAGGTACATAAACCACAATGTCACTGAAAAATTTTGCAGATCCAACGAAGAAAAGTTGAAAATAAAGCAAAAAATTAAATAATGATGGGTAACTTAATGAATAATTTAGAAAATTCTTTTTCTGCCACTTTCAAAAAATACTATAAAGGCAGAAAATCAAAAATTTCCGGATATAAAATTTTTAAAGCCACTCCGCTTTTTACAATAATTATTCTAAAAAAGTTTAAACCACTTTTACTACAAAAAACATTCCGGACGGAGCTGCTTAAAATATGATTAATTCACTTACTCAGAGTAATCCTTGAATAATGACTTATCAGTTACATGACCAAATGAAAAACGATCTCTCTCTGTATCTGCCACTTTAAAGTATGAATCCTTAAGCTTGCTCTCCGAATCGAAATAACCTCAAAATATCGATAGCATTATATTATATTTACCATAATATTTTCCGAATTAAAGCTGTAACATTGACAAGTCGCTAACTCACTAATTCTTTAAAATGCTTTAATTTTTATATTTCTCTTGTTTAATAAAGTTATTCCAAATCTGCCTGAAATGTAACTGCATTTTCTAGAAAAATTCCACCTTCTGATATGCCCATAATGAAAAAAAAGAATTGAAGCCAAAAACATACCAACAACAACATAATCATCACTGCTAGTGAATTTATCAAAATCTTTCTTGGATGACAACACAACAACGGATGGACCCGCTTGTCCCTTCATATATTTTATGATTGCATCTGCAGTTCGCCCACCATTGTAGTCTTGTGAATATTGGCCATTTCGAAAGATTTTCAAAGAAGGATATCCACTAACGCCATATTTTTCACATGTTTTTTTTTCGACAGTGCAATCAACCTTCAATTGAAACACCAAAAATTTTAACATAACACTATAAATCAAGCAATCAAAATTTAAAGAAGCATTGATTACCTTTATCAATTCCACAGGAGGTTCATTCGTGATTAATTCTGCAGCTGCTTTTTCGAAATCTGGAGCCAACCTTTTGCAGTGACCACACCTAAATATGCAAATAAACAAATGAAGATTGAACCTAAGAATAAGCAAAATCCCCTTAGAACTACCAAATATCCTTGGGATCCATAGTATTCCTTTGACATCGTCTCGAACGCTGCTTTCACACACACAGAACTTTCCATGTTTATTCTCAGTACTCCCCAATGATTTGTATTTTATCACCGCCACAATAATAGAAGTGTACAATGAAATTTGTTGGGACTTAGAAGGAACCAGAAATGAGAATAAAATGAGTCTAAGGGTATTACAAAAGATAATAAAGGATTTGAAAATCTGAGAATATTTAAAATATCACTGACAAGCCAAAATATCGCATTTATTTTCAATCGCGCCTTAATTTGGACATATAATTACGCAGTAAATTGCAATACAACTCGTCAAAACAGCAGATCTGGATATATTTTATGTTATAGCAACTAATGAAACCATACAATTATTTGCTTTAAATTATAATGAATTGAAATACCTCTAAAATCTGCTGCTGTTGAAAACTACTTTTAATCCTCCAATATTCCCACCGATTTCTTTGCCCCAATTTTCTAAGATGCTTACACTCTTAAAAGCCACCGCAACACTATACCACTTAACGTGCTGACCGCATCGAAAAAATTAGAAAAAATAGAACGAATTATTTACTAAATCACGAAAAAAAGAACAAAACAAACCAAGGTGCGAAAAATTTAACAAGCACGATTTCTTTCGATTCCATTTCTTTTTCAAAATTATCATCTGTCAACAATTTTATCTCCAATCCATCGCATTTAGTAAAGAAAATAAACAAAAAAAGCAATAAAGATGAAATTTTCATCATCTAAAAATTTTTCAGCTAAAAATATGATTTCTATGAAAACTATACTATAATAATCTCTTAATAAGTTAATTGAAATGTTACAATTAACTTTCATTAAATCCACGAATTTCATTTCTAAATACATTTTTAACTTTTCAAACCAAATTATTCTTACAAGTATAAATACTAGCAAAACTAAAGGTACAACTACCACTGAAGCACATAGAATAACCAGATGATTTGACGGACTATTCAACACTCGAAGATGTTTCGATTAGCACTCACTACCAATTATACTGCACGAATTCTAGACTTGCAACTGTGATTCTCGAATATATATACATAATTTTGCAACATAATCATTTACTCGCACAATTAATGCAAAGCGATAAAAAAATTTTTTATTTTAAATATTTGAAATTTTTTTCCATAAAACTTCAGATTTTTGAAAAAACAAAAGCAAAAACAGAGAAAAATATTTTTTTAAATCTGAAAAACCTCCAAAACATTTTTATCAAAAAAATTGCAGAGTTTCTTTCCCCTTCCCACCACATAAGCACGCACCGCCATATAAAAAATCTCGTGAAAAATCAATATGCGATAAGTGGAAAATCGGTAATTCTCGACCACAGACAATGAAAGTCCACACAAATTGAGAGAACTAGACATTAGAAGAAAAAATTTCTATTGAATTTGTGTACCATGCACTCACTTATCACATCACCACTAGGTTTTTATAATCAGTTAAAACGAAAAAAGCAACAAAAATTAAAATCATTTTATTTCATTTTTTAATTTCACGGTTCATTATTATTTTCTTCTACAAAAATTTGCACGTGGAATGAATTTCTGCATAAAATAAATAAATTCTGAAAAAAATGAGAAAATTTTTGAATAAAAAATTTTAAAATTTATTAAATTTATAAAAATTAAATAAAAAAAATTTTAATTAAAATAAAAAATTGTTAGGCACTCCATGCACTCAACCTAAATTCACAGTCAATGGAACTATTCTAGGGAATGGCCAATCCATATTTGGAAAAAAATTGCGAATCTTCTAACCTAAAATAAAAAATTTCCCCTATTTTAAAATGAGAGAACGAAATTATCTAAAATTTTTTTCACCTAAAACTTTTATATGAAATGAGAATTACTGAATACAGCAACAAAAAAATTCTACATAACCACTTTTCTGAACAAACTGCACATTTTCGAATATATCACAGATCATACACTCTTGCACATTCCTCACTACTCATTAAATTAGTTTTGTGCTTCCCTTCTAGATTCATCATCTCTTACTCATCTACATCAGTGTGCACTGCACAAATAAGTTAAGGCAACGCATCGCATATAATGATGCAGCGCGACAATTCAGCACATGCACTAATACATTGAAACAATTCAGTAGGAGCACGCGCATTATGGTGACTCAGCTCCAAAGCACCATGACGACCCAATATGCACCAAGGCACCTTCACCCAACACACTCAACGCCAACTACACACGACCGATTGCCATTCTTTTGAACACATTCGATAATTCGATAATTGCCAAAAATGACGTAGATTTGAAAAATTTAGAAACATGAACATCAATAAAGTAAAATGAAATATTTAAATTATAATTTTTGTTAATAAGGTTTTAAATAATTTTAAAAATGTGATAATTGTCGGAAACAACCGAAAGAAAGAAATAAAATAATAGTAATACGGTAAGGATTCATAAAGCTTTTTAAATTTCAAAAAAGAAAAACAAGATTTTAACAAAGCTTTTCACATCATAAGAAGTCAACAATATGCAAATCGCACAAAATTGTTTTTTTTCTATCTTTGTTCACGCATCTGTTAGTTACTTTGTTACTTTCTAAAGCCATCTTATTTGCATATCAAAAAAAGAAAACCATGAGAAAATTTTCTTTGGAATAAAAGCAAAATTAGTAAATAAATAAAATAAAATTTTTATGTAATTTTTGATCAACCAATGTTTTAGAATAACCATTCAGATTGGCAAATGAGAACCGGTCAGTGTTGGATCGACAATATCAAGAATCGCCTTCGCCTTGCTTCACCACCCTTTTTGTATTCGGCTTGAATATATTCGCTTTTACTTCGAATCTATTAAATACCTATTTTTCATTTATTATAGTAAACCGTTTTTTAAATAAATATTTCAATTCACGGTCGCAAGAGTACATTACATTCTTTTTCCGACAATATTGATTTATTTTTTTTAATCATTTAATGATTTAGCTATTTATTAAAAATGATTCATAATAATAAATTTATTAAAAATAATTTATAAAATAATTAATAATTTATAATTAATAATTTATAGTAATTAATAAATAATCTAACCAATCGTATTGATTAATATACAAAAAAATTAGAATGTTGTATGGCGAAACGAAATTTTTTCTCGAAATTTCAAAGTCTAAAAAGATCAGAAAAGTCACGAAGAGTCTACAAATTGATGGGTAATTGATGGGTACTGATGCATGAAAATTTCATGAAGGCAATATATTTTCATTTTATTTTTAAAGGAAAAACGAAATAAAATTGTAATATTAATATTAATAAAATTGTTAATATTAATATATTTTAACATTAATATTAATAAAATTAATATTAATATTAATAAAATTATTAATAAAATAATAAAATTGTTTTAATATTGTTTTAATATTAATATATTTTAATATTAATATTAATAAAATTGTTTTAATATTGTTTTAATTGTTTTAATATTAATAAAATTGTTTTAATATTGTTTTAATATTAATAATTAATAATGCTTTTAATATTAAAAGCATCAAGTTATATTGAAATATATTGAAGTTATATTGAAATTATGAAAGTTATTCATGGAAAAACCATACGATGAATGGGAATAAGTCTAATTCTCAACAGATCAATCAGTACCCGGCAGAAGTCCGAGTAATAACAGACCAGTCGTGCATTGCTGGCGAACCATTCGTACCGCAAAATTTGTCTGATTCGATATGCCCTTAACCGTTTATTCTTTTATTCTTTTAAATAAATTTGTTAAATTCGAAATTTTGAGATTGCAGTTGCAATTTTATTAATAAGCAAGCGGTACCATAATATTCGTCACCTTCGGCAATATGCTGATGGTTCATAAAGTTTTTCGTTTTCTATTCTACTTTTAGTGGTAAATAAAATTATCAGTGAACAATTGTAGATGGAGGATTAGAAATTTTTATGAAATAATTTCCGAGAAAAATTCGTTATTAGTAATAAAAAGATAGTCATTAATAATAATTCACATATTGCTGAGAATATAATAATGATTAACATTCACCATTAAATTTAATTCAGTGGTTGCTAGTATGGTGAGGGATATTTGCCGAAGAATTATTCAGTGATAATGATGCGGATAGTTGCAGGACATCAGCCAGAATGGACTACAATAACTAAATCATCAGCACTTCGTTCAATTCCCTCGGATTCCCTTTCTCAGACTCATAGATTCTCAGAAATCCTTTAAGACCTCTCAACATCTCAAATTCATCGCCCTCTCCATTAGGAAAAAACGCAATGTTCGTTACATTTTATTAAAGATCTCTATGGTACACTCGTATTTCTTTCGTTTCAAACCAAGCTACGCTGATAATGCCGACAAATCTATGCTCCCTAAGAATATTCTCAAAACTATAACACATGTGAAATTATATAAATTCCGTCATCATGTCCTTGAAGTTCTTTTAAATCTCCTTATCATATTTCTGATATGCCGTCTTCATTCCTCAGTACTCTCGCTAAATTCTGTTATGATCTCAATATCTTCCTCAAATTCTGATCATTTCATGATCGCCTACCCTCTCCTTAATGAGCTACCAGTCATAGATTGACGGATCGACCAGAGTCGCAGTTTATGGATGGAATTAAGAAACTGAGGCTATAATATGCCTTTCGTCTACGTTCTTCCTTTTTTTCTATCAATATCAACGGCTTTTTTTGCAAGTGCACTTTGTCATTTTGTCTAGAACTTGCAAAAATCTCTCCAATTACGATTTTGTACTGCAAAATTTCTCCAGTAGCAGAATTCGAACCGTGATACTTGAAATGGTAATCCAGGTAGCGTATATACAATTCGCTCGTAGAAAGTTGCAAAGAATTCACTCGAGTACTAGAAAGATCTCCGACATCGCAAGTGGCCTCGCAACGCTGAAAGCTCAATTTATTATTTTCCATCATCATTGGTCGGTCGGTACGCCTTTCACTCGAAGACAAACACTGGAATTTTCCATTTCATCATGGAGCCAGTCAGATAGTTACTTGTACCATTTCCATGATCCATAATCATTTACCACAGATGTATTCACTTTTTCAGACTCTAGTGGTAAGACGAAAACCAGCTGCTTTTCCTGATTCTGCAGCCTTCGATCGATACTGTTGACTATATTGCAGCTTCGGATGAACTATCAAACATTCGATGAAGTAAATTAACTTTGAGAGATTTAGAAATGAAAAGACATTGGCTGCGACCGTATAATAGTATCACCGTGTTAAAATAGATCGTGGTTTACCTTTTATTGTGACATCGTATTAGGGTTGCAATAGCGTCCTTTTTTTGGGAAGGAATGGAGAGGGAAGGGGTATTGGTGGTACTTACGAGATTGACTTGGAGGCATCGTTTGAAGCATTAGTTGATCTCACTCCTTTTCTCTATATTTCTTGCTGCTTTAATTATTCCCTGCTTTATTGAAAACTATAAATTTTGAGGCCTAAATTTTGGGTTTAAAAATCAGCTTAACATAAATTTTGCTTTTCGTCTTTCTGAAATCTTTAGAAAAAATTTCTGGAAAGTTCTCGAAGTCTAGAAAAGGAAATATGGTTAAAAATTCCTAACTAAAGATGCTTCTCTATTTAATTTGAATTTTTAAAGTTTCAGTATTTATACGTTTGTAATAGATTTATGCTGGTAAGTTGAAATAAGATTGGTGTGGGCAATTTGTGGCAGTTTTTCACTTGATTAGTTTATAAAATAGAAAGTTCACATTTGAAAAACTTGACCAATGCTGTAAGTGTTCATCTTAACATATTTGGATGATATTTTCAACAAAAAAATATTTGTATTATTTTTACAAAAAGATATTTAAAGTGGGCAAAAAAAAGAAATCTGAAAATGGTTGATTCTGGAAGCGATGATGAAGGACAAACTACGATTACGTTAAAAATAAAGACGACTTCGGAAAGCTATGAAATTACGACAAAGGAACAAGCTACAGTTGCGAAAGTAATTTTTTAAGTCTTTATTTATTTCATTTATTTTGATAGTCACTTTACTTATTTAATTATTTAAAATTTCATTTTAGTTAAAATTCTTTCCATGCATCGGTTATACAGGAAAAAATTTTCTTGTATGGTATAAAAGAAATAGTAAAAAGTAAAAATTTGGAGAAAATGTTATATATGGAAGATATAAACAATATGAAAAGCGTAAAGGAAGATTTCTTAATTATTTAATTTAATTTAATATTTTAAAATTCACCAATTTCTTTTTAGGTAAAATCAATTATTTCGCAAAAAATTGATCAACCTATAGAGAAACTTTGTCTAATTTTCTCTGGAAAAATATTAAAGGATTACGAAAAACTTGACCAACATTGTAAGTATTTAATTTAGCATATTCTAATAACTGCATGATAGAGAACAAGAATCGCGAAATAACCACTTGCTAAAGCTCTCAAATAAAGCTTATTGATTGCTTTTATATAACTTGTATTGGATGATGGATCATTCCATTTTTTGTATATTTTTTTATATTTTTGTATACATTTTTTTCTATCTATGTCTTCCCATTATTTAAAAAGTATCCGAAAATTTTCAATAATAATTTTAAAATTCATTACTTTGGTTAAAGAAATTTGTGGCACTTGTTATTAAGTTTTAATCACAATGGGGAATTTTAATTTTTGAATTTAAATAGAACATCTTGAAATAGAATTTTTTTACCGGTGATCTTTTTTAGCGATTTTTTTTTAGCCATCAAGGATGGTATGGCAATTCATTTGGTTATTCGTCAGGGTCAGAGAGTAAGTTATTCATAATAATTCTAATCATGAGGATTACGGATATTATTTTGGTTTCAATTTTTGGCTTTTTTTCTGGTTATTTTCTGGTTTTCCCTCATTTATCGATTCTGTTTTGCAGTCACCAAATATGACAACTGCGACCACTGCTTCTACTACAAGTGGATCTAACATTGTGAGTCATGATTGCTTTTTATTTTACATTCAAAAATTGTTATAATAGGCATGTGGAATTGATCCAGTTCCATTTGTTTGGTAATGGCATGGATTAAAATTAATTATATAAGTTTTTTTTAATTTTTGAATAACAAAATACTTTCGTTTTCTTGTCAGATTTGATTTATTAAAATATTTATTTAGGCATCACAGGCTACGCCATTAGTATCAGTGTTTGGTGCAGGTAGAAGTACTGGAGGTCCTATGGGAATGGGTCATCTACTTCAGAATCCAGATGCACTGCGCGATATGATAAATAATCCAGTTATTCAGTCAATAATGAGCAACACAGATGTAATACGTTCTCTACTGGTTGATAATCCACAAGTTCAACAAATCATTGATGTTAGTATTTAATTTAGCTCCAAATTTTTATCCTTCCGTTGTGTGGTTTTTATATATTCATTGCCATAGGCTAATCCTGAATTTGGCCATTTGTTGAATGATCCAGAAATTATTCGACAAACTATGGAAATGGTCAGAAATCCAACAATGTTCCAGGAAATGATGCGGAATCATGACCAAGCCATACGTAATTTGCAAGTATGTCGGTTTTGTCGCTTAACTTACATCTCATTTTTACAAAAATCATGGAATTCATAGAAAATCACCAAAAAATTTGATAATATTATTTCGGTTGAGGTCGAGCGAAAAGAAATATTTTTATTTTTTCAAAAATTTGTGTTATTTGATGTTATTTGATTTTAAGGGTATACCTGGAGGTCAAGCAGCTTTGCAACGCTTATATCAAGATGTTCAAGAGCCCCTGCTAAATAGCGCAGCCAATTCTTTCAGCAGAAATCCATTCGCTTCTTTGGTTGAAAATTCGAGTACAGTGAGTAAGGAGTTATAGTGCACTAAAATTTAATTTTAATCCATGAAATAGTTGAAAAAAAATGAGAAGTTTAATTTCCATTTGTTTTCAACTTCAATGTTCTAGCATCAAGAAGTCAGCACGCAGGTATCGAGAATGCTGAAGCTCTTCCAAATCCATGGGGTGGATCTGGAAGTTCTAATCAGTCAGCTGAAATTAACTCGAATGAGCAACCACCTATATTACTTGATTCTTTGGGAGGTAGCATTAGAAATTCGATTGTTTTTACATTTGTTCTGAAAGAATTATTATTTTCTATTTTGCTGTTTTCATTAAAAATTTTTGTGCCTTTTTTTCGTTTTTTATATTCTATAATTCAGGAATAGTAATATCATCTCGTCGATTTTCCAGATATCCTCAATTCTTCTGGTGCACAAAATTTAACGCGTCAGTTAATGAGCGATCCTGCTGTTGTTCAAGAACTTTTTAGCAGCAACGCCATGGAACGCGTCTCGCAGTTGGTAGGGCAAAATCCGTCGATACTTCAGTCGGTATACTTTTAAGATGAATTGAAATTATATGTTGTAATAATGATGTATGTCCATTCAGATTTCATGAATTTTTTTTTTCTTCTAAGAAACAATCATTACTATGCGTTTAGTTTCTAATTTCGTTTTGAAAAGTTTTCACTTAACTCCTTTTTTAAATTTTTTTTTTTTGAGATAATGGCAATGAATCCATTGCTTTCGAATTTGAGCAGTTCAGAATTGCAAGAGCAAATGCAGGTTGCTATACCGAGAATACAAGAATTGGTATGTTTATATTTTGTTTGAGAGAGTCGTATACGCGGTGCCAATTCAAAATGTATGTAATTAATTTTTTCAAGATGCAACAACCAGGAGCACTACAAGCAATGACAAGTCCTCGTGTACTAGAGGCCATACAACAGATTCAAAATGGTATTGAAACATTGCGACGCGAGGCACCTCATCTTCTGCCCGCCATCGTTGCACCGTAATAAATTTTCTTATTACATTAAGATTTATCTATATTTTATGACAAAGGTGATATTTTGATCAAAATGCTGATTATAGAATCTCGACAGCGGTAACAACATCCTCGACATCAAATACTACTACCACGTCGTAAGTTGTTTTTAATTTTTATTCATGCTATTTTTTAAAATTCATCTTGCTAATTTTCACTTAAGTTTAGGTGTTTTTAGATTGGTTAATTCACAGCTCTTTTGCATTTAAGTTTTACCGTTTTATCATTATTAAAATTTTAAACATTTTAAATTTATTTTATATTTACATTATTTACATTTTATCGCCTGGCGGGCGGGCTTTCAATTATCCCTTGATACTTTGGTTTATCTTAATTTTTATTGGTTTTGATTTTTCTCAATGCCAGTTTGTTTTAGTGCAAATACTGCGTCTGCAACAGCGGCAACAACAACTACAGTTCCAACTGGCGAACAAGCACTGATGATGCTTAATCTGATCAGGCAAATGACTGGTACTAACTTGGTTGGAATTTCTTATTTTCATTTATGTTAATTCGTACTTTTATTTTTTTCAATTTAGGCAGAATTGAATTTAGCCTATTATTAATATGAATTTAATAATATTAATATTAAATGATTTGCTTTTGTTCCTTTATTAAAGTCTATCATTAATTTTTTTAATTATTAAGAAATCTTTTCGATTATTTAAAGCGAAAAAGAGATCAGTATATTACAGAGTTTTATTCAAATTTGTTGTTAATATTCGAACTTATTATTTTCGCTCGATTGCATTCATTTACACGCTTGATTGAGTGGCATTATGCATTGACCTCGGTTAATCCTATAAATGACACTTCATGTTCGCCATTAAAATTTAAAGACTTTTTCGTTTTAATATGTATGGAAGTCAATCTTACTTAGATGTTAATGTAATATTTTTCGCTAAGATTGAAATTTTTAAGTAAATCAGTTAAATACAATTTGAGACTGGTAATAATCAAACCACAAGTCAACCTCCGGAAGAACGATATAGAAATCAATTGGAACAATTAGCCAGTATGGGTTTCAGTAATCAGGAAGCTAATATTCGAGGTTCTTTTATTTCTTTTTTTGTGGATTTCTGTTTTTCTTGCTTTTGATTTTTATTACCTCATTTGATATTATTTATTACAGCTTTGCTTGCTACATTCGGGGATGTAAACGCTGCGGTTGATCGACTTCTTAGTGGTCAGGATGGGCAGTAAATGATATCGTGATCAGTAGTTTTATTTAATTTTGTTATCGGCTGATGTTGGCTCGAATTTTATCTTATTTTGTGTGTTAACTGAAAATTTAGTGGTAATTTTTCTCTTTTTTTTGTTCATTTACAAATTTTTTATAAAAATAGTTTTAAATTGAAATAATAGGTGGATCTATGGTGAAATTGGATCTTCTTTTTAGCTCCCACTTAATTTTTTTCTGACTTTCTTCGGCAGAGTCGGGTTATGTTGCGGATATGATATTATTTATTATTTTTTCCGATACATTAATATTTGGAATTTCGTGTGATTATGATGATGTTTTGGTCTGCTTCTGTTCAAAAAATATATGGCTTTTTTTCATTTTATTCTTTTTAACTAAAAATGTTTTATTAAAAATTCATACATTGATTGTGACGATGGTAATGAAGTCATATCATTACATTAGAATCGTAAAATTTTCATTCAATGAAAAGGTATTTGACAGAATTTTTTATTTTATAATTGAAGAGATGTTGTTTAGTCTTTGGAGCATTATAAAGTTATGGGTGTAACGTTTTACGTATTTATATTTTTTATGTTCGTTCATCAGTTGTAAATTTTCTGTCGTAATTATTCCTTTGAATGTGTGTCGTTTTTAAATTCTTCAAATTAAGAATTTTATGAGTCCACAATGACGTTAGGTCACTTATCAAATTCTATTTTATTTCAGTTATGCTTATTTTTTTTGAATTTAAGTACTACTAATTTTTCTTTCAATAAATAAAACTTGTATGTTTTCAAATGAAACCATCAAGTATTAATTTTATAAAGTAAAAAATTTTTTAACTTTGAATTGGTCCAGTTGCTTTGATTATTTTTTATGTAAGCAGCAGATGGGGCATTTCGGCTTTCGTTTATGGGGATTTAATTGTTTTCAACTCCTTGAGCTTTTATGTTATTTTTTTATTTTGTTTTTATAATAGGGCCATATATTGGCAAAAAATCTGAAATAGTGTAATAATGTATGCTTGTGATTTAAAACATCAGAAAAGTAATTTTGTGGAAAGCGGTTTGTGAACGCCACATTAATCAAAAATTATTTTGCGTACTTGATCCTGGATAATTCTTCGCAAAAAGACCCTTTCGACCTTCGCCATTTATAATAAAATTTTTTCAACAATTCGCATCTTTTTTCTCTTAATATTGGTCCGTTTTGTTGCATTTATTGCTTTTTTTTCGAGTATTTTGTATTTATAATTTCGTAATATTTAGTCGCCATCAGTTGCTATAAAACGGAAAAGATGGAATGCGAACTTTCATCATATGTGGTTGATCGTTCCACTAAATGTTAATAGAATAAGATAGTGTCTGAGCCACTTGCAGATAGAATTGCAAATGGTTCAGGAGCGCTATGTCACGCGAATTTTTGAATGGTATTTCTTGCGGAGCTAGGAGCCAAACCAGGATGTACGATTTCGTAGTCCAGCTTTTAATAATTTCTAAAGTAATACTAGCTTGTACGATATTTACGAATATATTACGGAAATAAAATATTCTTTCTGAAATTGGCTTATAGAAGATGAAAATTTCATGCTTTTGGATCAATAGTTTTCCGTTTTTTTCGACTAATTTCAGCAGTTTTTTTTCTGATTTTTTTATTAATTATTAGTAATATTTTGCTTCTTTTTTTTTTTGAAGTTGGTTTGAAATGAGATTTCATTGTTCGAAACAGAAAGTTTAGCAAAAGTGTTAATTAATTGTAAACACTCGAAATTTCTCTCCCTCTATTTATGATTTATAATATTTATCAAGGAAAGCGAAAGGTTGGTTAATTTAATGTTTGACGAACTAAGATAAAAACGCTTAATGAAAGATGATGAGAGCGAAATAATTGAATTTTATAAGCGCTTTTAAAGGAAATGAATTTCCTAAGATCTGAAATTGTTATCTGCTTTATGGAAAATCATTTGAGATAAATTTGTGCATGTTGCACATTTTTCGACTATTTTCCGGTACGATTACCCAGCTATTTTATTTATTTATTTAGTATAATTGAATAACCTCAGTAAGGTATAGAGTCGATTATTTCCGGTTTGATTGGCTGTGGCCATTGGTCATTGGCCATTTGGATGAGATCTCTTCCTTAGGGAGTTACATATGGAAAGAAGTCACCAGCACCTCTCGAGTTTTAGTTTAAATGGCCAGACTTATTCGCATTGCAGTTTAAAGTGAATCTGGAATGAATTTATAATGGCACTGAGCTCAGTTGAGCAACAAATTACTCAACCATTCAAAAATGTAGGAAAAATGGGAGTTATAAATTTCGAAAATTGATATTAATTGATATTTTCGACCGAAAAAGCAGACATACACTGTCATTCTCTTTTTTGGTTTGGCTGGTCCGAGTGACAAAGAAAAGATTTATGTTAAGAAAATTTAATAAATTTTTAAAGGAAAAGGAAAAGATTTACTTCAATCTCTAAAGCAAATAATTAAAAATTCAACCATAATTATCGTTTTATTTGTTCATATGATTCGAATCTTTGTCGTACTGACAGATATACATACATGCATTCTCATTTTCATAATACTTTAATAAAATTAATGGTCGTTATCGACAAGAATTCAGATTCTATCAATTATAAATGCTAAATGATTTATGCCTTTTAGGCAATATTTGACATGCCGAATTTGAGTCTCAACGACAAACTTCATAAAGCCAGTTGAATTTGGCTAAATTTTATCTAAATAACCCATCGACGTAGTATTTGTGCAGAATACCTAATGAAGTGGTTTGTAGGGTATCGTTTTATAACTTTGCAAGCAAGCGATTTTATTGACCATGGTCACAATCATAGCACCATAAGGATTGCAAAGACTATATGTGAATAAAGATTTTCGCGATATGGCTATTAAATAATCGAAGGTTTTGATGCTTTTTCTTTATGCTTTTTTAACCTAACTAATGATTAGTAATTCTCCTGTTGTTGCTGTATGATATTATAAAATCAAGCGCATATAATAAATTAATCTTTATGTATTAGTGGAATTTATAATTATCAATTGCATTCCGATAATCCAAGTCACAATCTTTTAATGAATTACTTTAACTGGTGTGCTCATGTTGAGATAGAATCCTTTATGCTCGATCTCAAACGACAGTACCACTTTATAGGTGAAAAAGCATGAGTCCCATTTCTTGAAGGTAAAATTTGGAGGCATTGTGAACTTATTTGCATATAAGGTAATCATAGAGCTAGCTGGATAAACACAATAATTGAATATTATTGGACAAAATTAAATAGTATTGTAAGTGGCTGACATAAACCAAACTTCTTGAAAAAAGTTTCATTTTTTTTGTTAGATTTGCCGAAAATGTGGCACAATTTATAAAGCTTATAGTAGATTAACAGCAACATTTTGAAAGAAAATCATAAAATATAGTGTTTAAATAAGTATTTAAAGGATCGTAAAACTAATATCAGTATTATCATTATTAGCATCACTCTTTAAAGCGGATCATTTTGAAATCCATAAACATTTTAACCTTATCAATAATTATGATATGATACATGATATAATAATTACGATATAATAAACACAGTATCACAATCTAAAATCTAGATCATCTAAAAGTATTCACCATTTCTGGTTCAGCTGGCCCAACTGTGGAACCTTTTAGCAAGAGAATCATTTGGTACAGAGGTCGTTCTCTAGCGTCATTCGGATTTGCCTTATTTGACCATTCTGTCCCAATAAAAATGTAGATTGAATATCGATAGAATTAGCAATGTTAATAAGATTAATAGTAACGACCATAGTAATGACAATACTGATAATAATAATAATAAATAATAAAATAGAATCATAATAACAATGATCTAAAGAATCAAACAAGAAGATCTACAAGAAGATAAATATTTATAAAATAATACTTACGTATAAAATACAATAGATGTTGACAATAACAAATATTATGATCTTTAGATTAACTTCTAATATAACTCGAAGCAACAAGCTCATTGAATTTAAGCTCAATGCGAGAGTTATGATTTTATGCTCGAGGTAATTTGCTGGAATGAACGTGAGGATGAAAGGCTGTCTCCCGCTCTATCCAGTTTTAAATTAAAAAAGTCTGATTAAGTTTTTTACCACATAATTTAGATCATAAACTTATTTTAATTCTATATCCTTTCTTTTACTATTTTATTGCCACTTTTATTATTTAAATTCGATTTTTGATTTCATAATTAATATAACCAATTAGTTATATTTCGATTTTTGTTTTATCATCTGTCTTTACACTGTTCCTTATTATTGTTATTTTCCTAAACACATGGCGCTCCTCGTTCTGCTTGCCTATTTTATAAATAAATAAAAAATTAATGAAAATGATAATGATATTGATAACAATAATAACAAACAATATTAATAAAAGTAAGTAAAGGCAAATGAAAATAAGGTTTACTGAAAATAAAATGAATGTATCCTGGAACTCGTCGATCAATATTAATTTATTTATATATAAATATATAAATTTTGCGTGCCATTGTATTATGACTTATCAAATCCCGTAACACTCACAATATTTACGACCAGGCCAACTGCGTTCATTGGTTTGCTGCTTCAAACTAATCAATTGGTCGATAATTTTTGATGTTCACCGCAAACCAATATATCACCCAAATCGCATTTTCTTTACTGTAAATCAAAAACTTTTAAAAAATAAGATCGACTGAAATGCGTTTCGTTTGAAATCGTCATTGTCGATTTGTAATTAAAATAGAAAAATTAAGAGGAATTTCAAATTTCCTTTAAGTTTTTAATGCGTTCTGTGAGCAATTTAGCATGTGCGCCAGATTATTTAGAAAAACGATTACCCACTCGGATTTCACTTCGAATGACAAATACGCACTACGCACAGCGAGGGATAGGATTGCTTGGTCTATCGGCCTAGCATCCTGATGAGCCAATCTGCCTGCTACTCCTGTTTTGAACTTTAAAGTGATGAATCGAAAATCACC